GAGAAGGCAGTTGAAGACAGCCTAAAACTTTGGGACTCTGCCTCCACGTGGGAGACCCAGAAGCTCCTTGCTCCTGGCCCCTTGTGTTTGGATCGGCTCAGTTCTTGTTGTGGCCACCTGAGGATGGAAGATCTTCCTCTCTGTCTCTCCTCCTCTCTGTAAATCTGACTTTCTAACAAAAATAAATAAAACTTTAGCAAAGTCCGAATTGAGCAAAAAGTATTCCACTTAGAGTAACTCTGAAATATTGCATTTAGAGTACCATTTTTGGAGAAAAAGTAATAGGTGAAGGACTGAGTGAGCACTGGACACTACTCATAAATTCATTATGAGGGATCAACATGGTGTAACAAGCCAATACACTACCTGCAGTGCCAGCATCCCATATGGCTGCTGGTTCATGTCCTGGTTGCTTCATTACCAATCCAGCTTCATGCTTATTGCTTAGGAAAGCAAAGGAGGATGGCCCAAAAGCCTTGGGACCCTGCAGCCATGTGGGAGACCTGGATGAAGCTCCCAGCTTCAGATCAGCTCAGCTCCGGCCACTGCAGCCTTTTAGTTAATTCAGACCATCCAGGTGCTGAGGTCTTGGCCACACCTTCAGAGGGGCGGCACAAGCACCGCCCACCCATTTCCTAACTGGTTAGGAGACCACCAATGGGGAACATCTTACCCGCAGGTTCCCGCCCAACAAGGAGGGGTCAGGGAATACTTAAACTGCCAAGACCCTTCCTCATACCTTTGGGGTCTCTCCCTCTCCTTTCGAAAGGCACCCCACCTCTTGGCTCTCTCTCTGGAGGTGCTTTCCTCTTCCCTCTTCTTTCCCTGCCCACCTGGTCCCTTCACAGTCAATTCTTAGCTTTTTATTTCTAGATTAAGCTGAGAAAAGAACCCACTGGGCTTTTCTGGTAACAGAGTGAATGAGCAGATGAAAGACCTCTCTCTCTCTCTCTTTTTTTAGATCTTTGTCTCACCCACTGTTTGTGTAACTCTTTAAATACTTAAAAAATAAATTTATTATGAAAATAGTATGAGCCTTACTGCAAAAACTACCTGTACCAAACATTCAGATGAACAGAAGATATATAGCACTGACACGTAATGTAAGAGATGCGTTCATGGTACTATGTTCTGGAAGTAAGTTGCTATTTTTATCTCAAGAAATGCAATGTGTTTCAAATTATCCATGTTCTAAAATAGCTGTCCCATAAATGAAACCCTGGAACAATTTAAAGTGCGTAGGAATATGCAGGCAATGTACTGCAATCTGACAGACCCTAACACTGCTACTCCTTGTGGCTGTTTGTCAACAGGCTAGGGCTGGCATGTCTCAGAACGAGAGAGTTCTAGAAATGTCTGAAGTGGTTGAGAACCCACCATCAATCTGGCTTTATCCTGACAATCCTGCTGGTGCACATTTGGGATTCCACAGCCCAAGCTACAGACTAAACAAGCTTTCTCTTAGAAATTTATTTATGTATAATGCTGGTGCCGTGGCATGGCACGATAAGCCTGTGGCACTTATAGCCCATACGGGTGCTGGTTCACATCCCAGGTGCTCCACTTCTGGTCCAGCTCCCTGCTTCCAGCATAGAAAAGCTGCACAGGCTGGCTCAATTCCTTAGGCCCCTGTGCCCAAGCAGGAGACTCAGAAGCTCCTGGTTCCTGGCTTTGGATGGCTCAATCGTTTAAGGAGTGAACCAGAGGATGAAAGATCTCTCTGTTCCTTCTCTTTCTGAATTTCTTTCCAATAAATTTTAAAAATATATTTTCATATTTATTTATACAATACATTTATTTAAATTTAAAAACATTTTCATATTTACTTACATTTTAAAAACATTTATTTTCATTGGGAAGGCAGATTTACAAAGAGAGACAAAGAAAGATCTTCTGTCCACTGGTTCATTCCTCAAAGGGCTGCAGTGGCCAGAGCTGAGCTGATCCAAACCCGGGAGCCAGAAGCTTCTTTCAAGTTTTCTACATGAGTGCAGGGTCTCAAGGCTTTGGGCCATCCTCTGCTGCTTTCCCAGGCCACACTCAGGGAGCTGGATGGGAAGTGGAGCTGCCAGGATTAGAACCGGCGCCAATATGGGATCCTGGTGCATTCAAGGTGAGGACTTTAGCCACTAGGCCACGCTGCTGGGCCCAACCTTATCTTTTTAAATGCTGATTTTCATCTACTCAAAAGGCAGAGTGAGAAGTAGGAAGACTGAGAATCTTCCGATCTGTTGGCTCATTCCCCAAATTCCATCAGCAGCCAGGACTGGGCCAGGTGCAAGTCAGGGGCCCAGTGCTCCACCCAGGTCTCCCATGACCCAAACACTGGAGCTGTCACCGACCACCTCCCAGGGTGCTTATCAGCCAAATTTAAGTTTTTTCATTTTTTAATTGTATTTTTGACAATCTTTACATAGTTAATTAGGGTAAAAATGTTCTAGGGCTATAGGAAAGTGGTAAGACTATTATTTCCATATTGTTTCCTTCCTGTATTTGAGGTAAAGGGGGGGTATTAAGGGAGAAGCCCCACCCAGTTTCCCACCCACCCCAGGTCCCGTATGTGGGGCATGCGCCGAGATTCTTGCTCAAGTGGTTTTGATAGTTCACCAGTTATGAATCGCTGCCAATCTCGCCACTCCAAGCCAAATTTAATTTTTGTGGTTTTTTTTGGTCATTTTATTAGAAAGTCAGAAGAGAGGTGTGTTGAGAACAAGGGAGAGAATGGGAAAAATATTATCTGCTATTTGTTGGTTCACTCTCCAAGAGACATCAGTAGCCAGGGTGGGGCCAGGTTGAAGCTAGGAGCCCAGACCTCAATCCAGGTCACCGGCGTGGGAGGCAGGGAGCCAGCGACTTGGGTTAGCACCTGCTGCTTCCCAGGGAAGCTCCAACTACAGGCAGAGCCGGGACTGGAATTCGGTTACTCCACTACCGGATGTGGGTGTAGCAATGAACATGTTCACCACAATGCAGCGGGCCCGGCTCCTGCACCATTGCTAGGCATCTTTAGAACAGCACTGGGCAGGGTGCTTCACCCACAGCAGTACTCAAAACTAAGTCCAGACTTCCAGCAATCGCAGTATTTCATCCATTCCAGGATCCTGCCTCTTCCACCGTGACTTGTAATACTTGCCCACATGTAAATCTTGTAACTTCCTCAGACTTGACTATAGAACCACCTTTGTGGCACAGCAAGTGAAGCCACTGCTTGCAACATCCTTATTCCCTATCAGAGTGCTGCTTTGTGTCCTGGTTGCTTGGTTTCCATTCCAGCTCTTTGCTGGATCTGCACCTAGGAAAGCAGTGGGAGATGGCCACCCACACAGGAAGCACAGATGGAATTCAGATGGAGTTTCTGGTTCCTGGATTTGGCCTGGCCCAGCTGTCGTGGCCATTTGGGGAGTGAAAGAGCAGATAACGAAAGAGCTCGCTGTCTGCCTTTCAGATAACTACAGTGGTTGTGAGAGCTGGCTGGACTCGAGGTGCTTGTCTTCCAGTCAGAATTTCATACATATGACAAAGAACAGTAAGCAAGGGGGCCGATTTAATGAGTGTAGTCATCAAAAACAAGAGGGGCACCTCCTTCTAGAACGGCAGTCAACATTTAGACTGGCCTAAGCAAAGGAACCAAGTGTAATACAGGGAGTGCACCTGCTGGGCCAGCGTTCAGCCCGGGGCTTGTACGGGTCTGCCGGCTGGTTCTTGCCAGTCTCCTTCCACCCTCTTCCTGAAGAGCAGGTTTCCTGCGTGAGACCTTGTTGGAATTCCACTCAAGGGTTTGCGATCTAATGTTGTGATTGTGCAGTCCACTGGGCAAAGAGGGCTTTCCATGGGGCTGGAGGGGGGTGGGTGGCAGGAATGAGCTGTACCTAAAGTCATCTGGGTTTTCCTTAGGCCCATTTCTGTCCATACATATATGTATATATACATGATTGTATATATATGGATATAAATGTAAACAAAACCCTTGAAATCGCACACATATACACAACAAAATTTGCTAGGGACCATCTTTTTAGCTAACAGCCCTAGCTATTAGACCTACGAGCTGCCTCTTATCTTGAGTAAATATTGTATTCAGTCTTTGAAGTTTTTCAAGTTCTGCACCAAAGCTTCTTAGGGGTTCAAGTTAAGCTTTTCACACATGCCAGCGCCGTCAGAAACCATGCTGGGTATTTGTGAATGATTCCTGTGCACTTGACCCTGGATGCCACAGAGCGGCTTCTGACGTGGGAAAGCCTATCACAACAGGAGTCTGTGAGCGCTTAGGGAGGTTAAGCCGAGGCTCGAAAACCCCAGATAATAAGCCACGAACAGAACACGAAGGAACAGGCATCTAGCGCTAGGGATAATACTCTTTTTGGAAAAGCACAGCTCTTGTGGCAAAGGGCTGGTGCTGACGGCAGTGGAAACTTCTTTTCTGTGCGTGCGGACACAGACTGGCTGCAGAATCAGGGCCGAGTCCAGCTTCTGGATCCCTTTTCCCCCCTCACATGGGACCATTTCTGTAGCTCAGCCAATCCCAACACACGTCCCAGGTCAGCTCGGTGTCCCTGTCCCAAACGCCACACACTTGCGCTCTATCACCTCGTCGGGCACAAATGGCGAGCCTCAGCAGTCACAAAGGCAGCGCGGACCCCCTGAGCCCCCGCGTGCCGGGCCTGTCCCCGAAACCCACTCCCCATCCACCCCAACTTTCTCCCGGGAACATCCGGCACACCCTGCCCGGGCCCCACGACTCCAGCCTTCTCTAGAAAATCCCTCTGGCCTTAGACTTCATCCGAGCAAGCACAGAGGAGGGGGTGCGGTGGTGCTGCTCTCACCCCAAGCGACACAAGCGACAGACGCCCAAACCCCAAATCCGCCACCCACCCCCGCACGGCGACGGGCGACGCGGCCGAGAGGCGGGGTTTCCGCTTCCGGGGGCGGATTGTTGACGCCTGCGGCTGCTGCGGTGGCGAAAGGGCGGTTGGGGAGGGGCGGCTGAGGGGAGCGAGACGGCGCCGTGACAGGTTCTGCGAAGGCTGCCGCCGCGGCGACGATGGCAGAAGGGCCCGAGGAAGCCCGGGGTCGCCCTCCGGGAGGGGACCACGCGCCCGGCCCCTCCCCGAGAGGCCCTCCCGCGGCCGCCACCCCTTGTCCCCGAGATCCGGCGCCTGTGGAACCCCAGGCCCCGGGCCGGCCCCTCACCCCGAGCCTCGCCCCGGAGGAATCGGAGGCGCCCAGGGAGCTGAGGAGACGCCGAGAGGCGGCCTCGAGCTCCGGCGCGGGGCTGCAGGAGCCGCCGGGCCGCGAGGCGGCTGAGACGGAGGCGCCGCGGGACAAGCCGGCGCGGCTGAGCGCCCGCGAGTACTCGCGACAGGTGCACGAGTGGCTGTGGCAGTCCTACTGCGGCTACCTCACCTGGCACAGCGGGCTGGCCGCCTTCCCCGCCTACTGCAGCCCCCCGCCGCCCCAGCCCAGCTACCCCGCGGCCGCCGCCCCCCAGGCCGCGGCGCCGACCCCGCAGCTGGCCTATTACAACCCCTTCTACTTTCTGAGCGCCGGGGCGGCCGCGGGGCCCGAGCCCGGGGCGGCCGCGGGCATCAGCACCCCGACCCCGGTGGCGGGCCTGGGACCCCGGGCTCCTCACGGGCAGGGTACGGGCCGGGCCGCTCCGGGGACTCGGGCGGGATCCGCAGCCCCTCCGCGCACCGCGGGCGAGAGCGGGAGGCCGGCAGGTGAGCGCGCTGCGGAGGCTGCGGGGGATGGGGGTGTCCGCCCGGGCGTTGCCTAGGTCGTTGTGTCCCCGGCTGGCGAAAGGGCTGCTTTTCTACCTCGAGGCCTAGCTGGTGGGTGGGTCGTTTTCCACCTGTGGAGTGTGGATGATCCGCGTAGCGGCGAGGACCTGACCGGCAAATGCGGGAAATCCTACAGGCGTCACACAGTAAATCCAGGGAGATGTGCGTGATTGCAAATGGAGTTGTCGGGCTGGCTGGGCCTGCCTTGCCGATCCACATTTATTTCTGCATGGGGACTGGCATGGTTCCATTCCTTAGACTTACGTTGGGGTTTGTATTCAACCCCAGCCAATGTGAGAAGGAGAACCAGTTGATACTTGCATGTGATGCTCGTCAAAATTGACGATGACCGGTTGATGACCGCTGCGTTGATTTCAGAGAAACGAAATGAATGAGGGGAGAGAGAGATACAAGACAGGCCTTTACCTTGTAATTTACTTGTTTATATTTTATGCTGCACATGTTTATACTCGAATTTTTCTTTATGGAAAGAAAAACGTTTTAGTTTTGTATCACGGAGATGTGGTCATTTGCATTCTGCTAATTGGAGGCCTCGATAAATGTTGTGGTTACTCTGATCAAACTTGGGAGTGAAATCAAATTTTGAACATTAAGATGATGAAAGTGCATTATAAAAAAAAAGATTTATTTCTATTAAAAAGATTTATAGAGAGGAGGAGAGACAGAAAAAAATCTTCCATCTGTTGGTTCACTCCCCAAATGGCTGCAACAGCCTGGTCGGAGATGAGCTGATCTAAAGCCAGGAGCCTGAAGCCTCTTACCGGTCTCCCACTTGGGTGCAGGGTCCCAAGGACTTGGGCCATCCTCGGCTGTTTTCCCAGGCTACAAGCAGGGAGCTGGGTGGGAAGTGGGTGCACATATGGGCTGCTGGCACTTGAGGTGGAGCTGTTCAGCCACAGTACTGGGCCTGAAAGTGCATTTTTAAGACGGTTTATTCAAAGCAGTGCAGTGTTATTGCTGTGTGGAAATCAGTACCACCACCTGGTGCAAGGCTGTGGCTGGTTTGTTTTGTTTCTTTAAGATTTATTTATTTTTATTGGAAAATCAGATTTACAAACAGGAGAGACAGAAACATCTTCCACCTGCTGGTTCACTCCCCATGTGGCCACAACAGCCAGAGCTGAACCAATCCGAAGCCAGGAGCCGGGAGCCTCTTCCAGGTCTCCCACATGGGTGCAGGGTCTCAAGGCTTTGGGCCGCCCTTGACTGCTTTCCCAGGCCACAGGCAGGGAGCTGGATGGGAAGTGGAATATGAACTGGTGCCCGAATGGGATTCTGGCATAGGCAAGGCGAGGACTTTAGCCGCTAAGCTACTGTACCAGGCCCAGTCATGGCTGTTTTTCATTACTGATTTGTACCTTGATTTTGCCTTCCCGGCCAGTACTTGCTTGTGCCCTAAGGCCTTTGTGAAATAATCTTTCCTTCTTTCCTTCTTTCCTTCTTCCCTCCCTCCCTCCCTCCCTCCCTTCCTTCCTTCCTTTTAAAATTTCATGACTGTTTCCCTTTCCCTTACAGGCAGGGAGTATGTTATTCCATCCTTGGCCCACCGATTCATGGCAGAGATGGTGGATTTCTTCATTCTGTTCTTTATAAAAGCAACCATTGTCTTAAGCATCATGCACCTCAGTGGAATCAAGTAAGTGAAGCGCGCGTGCGGCCAGGCTTTCGTTTGTGCTGTGCAGAGAGGATGAGGTCCCTGCACACCTGCAAGGGACTGTGCGGATGCTGGCTCTGCCAGCTGGCCTGATTTCTTCCCAAAAGCTTTGACAGATTTCTTGGTCATATCCTCTGGAGTCTCGAGAGAAAGGTGATAAAGAACTCTTGCTGGGTAAACTATTAATCATCAACTAGCTGGCATTTCCAGGTGGCACTGCTTACCACGAGGCCAGTCCCGAGAGCACTGCAAAGGGAGATGTTTATTTGAATAACCCTCTCCCAAGATTGAGATGGTGGCAGCTCTCACTGGCTAAGCCCTTGCTCTGTACCAGGCATTAGAATCTTATTTTGTACCACCACTGTGAGGTAGAGGTTAATACCTCCATTTTATAGGGATTGAGAGTTGAGTGTGTGAGAAGTTAGGCCTAGCATTTTGAGTGGCCATGTCAGGACACATGTAGTCACATGTCGAATCCCCTTGCCAGGAAGCCAATTGTTTCTGCGACTTCGTCTCATCCCTGTCCCTACCCTGTGCCCCTCTGTGTCCTGCGCAGTGCTGGCGCCCTTATGCCCATTCTGAACCATTCCATCAAGACCCATCACGGTCATCACCACTGCGGCTTGCACTGGATCCGGTGAACATTTCACCTCATGCTCCCATTGCTGCCAAGGGCTCAGAAATCCTGATTCTTTGTTTCATTTTTAAGGATTTCTGTAATTGAAAGTCGGGAGAGAGACCTCCCGCACACTGCTTCCCGCTCTAGCTGGACACATGGCCAGGGCTGAAGCAGGAGTCTGGAGCTTGAGCTGAACCTACACGGGCATCGCCCTGCTTCCCCAGGCCCACAGTGCTTACAGCTTCTCTGCCCTCACTGTCCCTCGAGAACTTTCCCCATGCTTTGTAGAGCTAAGTGTGCCTGGTACGTGTGTGCACAGTGCTCTGTGGTGCCCCGTCACGGCGCTCATGCTGCTTTTCATCGTTGTTTCCCTAGCTGGGTCAGCTTCCCCCCGGCGGTGGCCATGCCGTGCACAGGGCTACCAGTGTGCCTGCTCTTAGCACTGCTCACCTGCTGAATAAGCTGAGGAATGTCTTACGCAGCTAGGTAGTAGAGAACCCAGATGTGCAACTGCAACTGTTCTGGCAACTCTGTATAACCCCAATTATTGTTTTGTGTAGGGATATCTCTAAGTTTGCTATGCATTATATCATAGAAGAAATAGATGAAGACACATCAATGGAAGATTTGCAGAAAATGATGGTTGTGGCTCTTATCTACAGATTATTAGTTTGTTTCTATGAGGTAAGCTACTGACCAGCAAATATTAATAATCTAATTGTAAAAACAAGAGAATAGAAAGTGTTAATCATTGCGTTTTTTCATTGTAACATTATTTAATAGTAGCAAATAATTGGGAGCAACCTAATGTCATTAATGAGGTTTGGTATTTGTGTGTTTGTGTGTGTGTGTTCTAAACCAATAAAAATCTTTTAAAGATTCATTGGAAAGGAAAAATCATTGGAGAAGGAGAGAAATGGAGAAAGGGATGGGGCGAGAACCAGGGCCAGAGTGAGAGATGCGAAAGAATCCATCTTCCTTCTCCTGAATTCATTTCCCAAAAGCTTGCCTTAGGCAGAGCAGGCTTCGTCGCTGGAGCCAAGAGCAGGAACTCCCTTTTGGTCTCTCAGCCGAGTACTTGGGCTCCCACGCCAGAGGCGCCAGAGCAGCAAGGCGCCCTGACCCAGTCACCTGCTGCCTCGGCCTCTCAGACTTTTGTCTTTGGTCTTCTACTTTTCTGTTTTATCTAGATTTTAATTAATATATATTAGTTTTCAAGTTCAAAAAAAAATTGGGAAACAGTTTATATAATTTCGTTGCAGTATGTTTTAGTCTTAGCCAAATCAAATAAAATTCTACTTCAGCAAATCCAACAGTATACTTCTATGTTGCTTATAGTACTTGTAGTATGAGGAAAAACCTCACCTTTAGGAAGTAGTTAAGCTAGTAATTTGTTTTTAAATTATCCTTCTCTGCTTAGATAATTTGCATTTGGGGAGCCGGCGGAGCAACCCCTGGGAAGTTCCTGCTAGGGCTCCGAGTTGTGACGTGCGAGACATCAGTACTGATCGCTCCAAGTCGGGTCTTGGTGATTCCTTCCTCAAACGTTAGCATCGCAACGTAAGTCCTTCTCCTAGTTTGTACACATAAGAAAATGAGTCATGTAAGTTATAACATTTGATAGTATTTTCAAAATATTGTTATTCTTCCTGGTATATAAGTAAGTTTACCTTTATTAAGACTGTTTATGGGTGTTTCAGTTGTTACATGATTGGAGACCCCTGTGAGCCAGTCAGCATTTTCAAGATGATCCTTTTATGAAACTTAAGACACAAGGAGAGGATGATTTGGGGATTGAGCCTTCCTCAGCGTTCTGTACTGAGGGTTATCTGTGAATGTTGGGTCAGTTGCTGGCTTGCCATGTACCTCATTTTCATGACACCTGCCATCCCATCTTGGTGAGGTGCTGAGTTCTGACCTTGCGTGGCGCGTGCAAGCATCCTGTTCTGCTGTCAAGTGGTGGGGCTGGCAGTACCCCAAGGTCCTGGCCAGCGCCTGCGCCGAGGTCCAGGGAAAGGCAAATCAGTTACAAGTTGTAGAGGTAAGCGGGTGGTGACCAGGTGGCTGGCACTGGTTTGATTATACACAGAAAGGCCCCGGGTGACTCTCCAAGCCTGGCTTGGTGCTGACATCTTCCGGTTCCCTCTGAAAAGCACCGTGGCCGTCATTCTGGCTGTGTCAGGCATGACGCGTTTCCTGAGCGTCTTTTATGTGTGAGGCACACGCCTAACGCTGAGAGTGTGTTCCTGAATTCTAACAGCCCTAGCTAAACTTGTCCCCTTTCTTCAAGTGTGGAGCACAGCTAGCGCCTGATGGATGGATTGAAACCAACCAGCCTGATCCAGTGCCACCTTAGCCACTCCATCATTCTGTAGCCTTTAGTGCGCTCAAAGGCAGAACTGACATCAGGAGGGTGGCGCTCCAGTCTCTGTTAGGGCTTTTAAACCTTTTTCTCAGTCACAACTCCACAGGAAAGCTGATACAAACACAGCAGCTTAAACCGCTAGTGCTTCACTAAGGTCGAATGTGGGACTGTAGGAAGCATGTGGTTCAGAAGGTATTTGAAACATGCAAGAACACTAACTGTGGAAAGGTGAGCAAGGAAATGAGGCTTTTCTTCTGACAGACTGTTAGAATGTATTGTACATGCTCACTCGGTTCATATCCTAAAGCCGTGTCTCTGATTGCTCTTCATGTCAAAGTTCTAAAGGCTTATTTAATACTGATGAAATCCTTAGACGTAGCCCACATGGTTTCATTATAATATAATGTTACTTGCTAATAACCACAATATTAAAGGTGAAAATTCCCTGGGTTAAACTTTGAATAGCAGCCTTAAACACACACTTTGAACTGGATAGGGCAGCATCGGTCTGTACGTGGTTGTGATACACAACTTAACCCGATATTCTTGCTTTACTTTTTTAGGTCCACCATACGAGCTTTGATCAAGAATTTTTCTATTGCTTCTTTTTTCCCTGCTTTCATCACACTGCTATTTTTTCAACATAATCGAACAGCGTATGACATTGTAGCAGGAACTATTGTGGTAAAAAGAAACGGGGTCAGATGATGGCCCAGAAAAGCCCTAATTCCATACTGATTGGAATAATGACAAGACTAAATTATGTATCAGCACGATCAGTATCCCTGGGTAACCTTAATTGACAACTTCAAAATTAAAGCAGTCACTCCAGTGTGAGGCAGGAGACTATTGGAAAGTATTGATTTTACTTGAATACCAAAGAACTGTGCCAGAAAAAAGATGTTCAAGTGTTAAAAATGCTTAGCTCAAAGAGAAGGCAACTGCGTTCGTAATCACCAATGGACAATATATATGTATATATACTTTCTGAAAATCTAAGACATTAGAATTTGCCAAATGCATTTTCATCTTTGAAATCTCCAAGTGAAACTTTAAAATTGTACCTTGGTTTTTCCCCCCAAATGATGGAAACTGTCCAGTTGTGTTTGTACACACCTCTGTCATTTCATCTTTTAGGTAACGCTTCTTGAGGAACTTGCCTTCCTTGGTTTTTGGCAGGAGCGAGGACACAAATTGGAGGGTCCACTCGCCTCCCATGCCGGGAGGTGGCGGGCGAGTGAAGCTGCGAGGGCGAGGGGCAGCTAACAGCTCTCTTGCCCTCAAGCGTTTTGAGCCGTTCTGTGGCTCACCGCAGTAATGATGTAACTTTATAACTGTCCTTAAGCTCAGATGTGCTTTGGGGGGCAAGTTCCTCATGATGACGAAAAGGTATTATGTCATATTGCTATATTGTTGAATTTTTAAAGAAAAGGTAAGTTTTAGTGATTGCTTGTAACGGGAGGAAAAAGTAAATTGTCATTGTAGTTTTAACTTGAAATTCATGTGTATTTTCAGTGACCCAAAGTCAGACTCTAACTGTATGGGGGAAACGTTAAGTTCCCTCAGTTGCATAGTTCCCCTAAAACATTCCTACTCTGTGTGTGCAGCATGACCAAAGTGTTCCGAGTGTGAGCGTAGCCTGCATTTCTAGAGCGCACACTTGCATCTGCTTGCCTTTCTCTCACATTCTAGATAGTCCCATGACTGCTGACACATCAAGGTCAGGACCCTGGCTAGTTCATCAGTAGCTCTGTGTGCTTGTGTCGTGGCCTGTGAGACAGTCACAGACTTCCCCTTAGGAGCTGCTCTCTCTACAGCAAGCGAGGGGCTCCCAGGCAGGTGTCGCCCTACGCTACGGAGGCTCATTTGGGCCTTGCAGGAGATGAAGTTATGGGCAAGATGTCCGGCAGAGGGGCACACTGCGTTGCCAGCTGCTTCTCCACTGGAGCACAGTTGGGGTTTTGTATGCGCTTTTTAGATATCCCTGTTACCAGTGTTGACCTATACTCATGCTGCTTCTGGTTTTACTTGATTCTTAGACATTTTAAACTATTTTCCAGAAGGAAAAAACACTAAATTGTATTGCACAGTTCAAACTTTGATTGCTTATAAGGGATCTGTCTAATAAGCTTTGTTCTTGGTCTTTAGTAACAAATGCAAAACTGTCAGTTATCACTGTTTTCAATTTTCAGAGTTTGGAACTTCTAAACATACACTTAATTTTATAGAAATTTTAGCAATGCCCTTTTATTACCTCTTTATTATAAAATTTCATAAACCATGTTTTTCACAATAATTCCTTATTAAATCAAATATCACAGAAAGCCTATTAAATGAGCCAGAATGCTATGATTCTTCACAGAAAAATACAAAGTTAGAGAAACATTGCCAAAATTCCCATTCAGCATGAACACTAGCCTGAGTGTTACTGATTCCGCCTCTGATGGGGGTGTGCAGGCAGAAGCGTCCTCCAGGCTGGGCACTCCGGGCTACAGAGGGCTCTTTCCTTGCTGCTCAGGTTAATTTGTTTGTACTTAGGCTTTCACTTCCACACGAAAACAGGCAGGCATGTCTAGTTACAATAAACTGCACATTTGCTGTACACGAGCCACTAACACGCCACGGTCTGGGTTCCAGCTATGCGTGGCAGCCCTCCTGCTCTGTCCTATACAAGTGTTACCACTGCGTCTGCCTGTGTCACAGAACCCAAATCTCTGTGTATGTAGTCAGCATTTAGGGAAACAGCTCGACTCCCAGATTTGACAGAAATGTCCCAACAGTGGAAACCGGGATTCAGTGCTCCATTTTTTTCCCTTGGAAGTGCATGGTAGTCTTCCCTCACTGCCTTTTTTAAGCACATTTTTTTAAATTTTATTTTTATTGGATAGTCATATTTACAGAGAGAAGTAGAGACAGAAAGATCTCTGTCCACTGATTCAGACCCCAATGGCCAAAGATAGCTGACCAGGAGCCAGGAACTTCTTCCAGGTCTCCCACAGGGGTGCAGGGTCCCAAAACTTTGGGCCGTCCTCAACTACTTTCCCAGGCCACAGGCAGGGAGTTGGATGGGAAGTGAGGCATCCAGGACAGGAACCAGCACCCATATGGGGTCCCGGCACATTCAAGGTGAGGATTTAGCCATTAAAGCCCAGAATACATTTTTTTGAGATTTCCTTTTTATTTTAAAGGCAGAGTTAGGGGAGATCCTCCATCTGCTGGTTCACTCCTCAAGTGGCTGCAGTGGCCAGAGCTGGGTTGGTCCAATGCCAGAGCTCCTTGAGTCTCCTACAGTGGGGTGCAGAGGCCCAAGAACTTGGGTACTCCTCTGCTTCCCAGGCCATTAGCAGGAGCTGCATCAGAAATAGAACAGCTGGCACCCATATGGGATGCTGGCACCACAGGCAGAAACAAAGTACTATGCCACAGCACTAGCTCCATAGTATCCTTTTGTTTCAGAACATTTTTCTATTTACTATATTTCACTTACGTAAATACTGATTTTCTGCATCACAATATAATTTTCATGCTGAAGCTCTGACTTTAATGGCAAAGGGAACAAAAACTGGAATTCAGACCAAGTGAGGATACTATTTCATCAACGAGCATTGCCCTAAGTTAAAACCTTAGGACTTCTTATTAGAGGCTTCAGCCATAATCTTATCTCTGGCTGAAGAACAGACTAGCAGGTTAATTTGGGCAGCTGGGAAATAGCATCCATCACTAGGTGGCTAGTGCACCTTCAGGGGAAGTCTGGCTTACTGAATAAATAGCATTCAGATTGGAGCCACGTGGTCACTACAGGGAGGGACGTGTACAGCAATGGCCTGCCTTGAAATTGGACCACTCTGCGACCTTGGAAACAAGATCAGAAGTTTGCTAGGAAGTCTGCATTTGCCAGTATTATTTAAAATAATATATACGTGTGTGTGTATATATATTCCTGTAGCACCAACTCAGTAGTTACTTCTACTTTGATCTTCTTTCAATTTCACAAGTATTTAGAACTGAAAATGCATTATTTGAAAGCCATTCTACCTAAATCAGTGCATTTTTAGTTTTGTATTTTAACAGTAAAATTACTCATATTTTAAAAGAATTTGTTCTCTTTAATCACTTACTTGGGTTATTTTATTTATGCATAAGTTATTTCCAACAAAGGGAAACTAGAAATTAAAAATTATGCTATTTCCCCCTTGGGAATACATGGTATTTGTTGGGGTGGGGGGAGACTGGGATATTGAATGTCTTCAGTCGACACTTGCACCTTTTGCTTCTCTGAACAATGTGCCCAAGTAACAGTATTTGAGTTCCGGCCACTGCAATTGCTTGCTAGGCCCCATCCCTAATACCAAGACACGGCTTCGCAACACGTGCTCGTCTGGGTGAAGTTCTTATTTCAGCTGTGTGTGTTACCAGTTTTTAACCAGCGGGGCTTGGTCTGCAACAGCACCTGATGGTCCACTATAAATTCATGCTCCTGTTTTCAGTGATTTGTTCAGCACCAATTTGTATTCATTGTCTCAATAAATGCTTTGTCACCCCAGTGCATCTGTTTTTATTTCGAGAAAGTTTTACAATCTTCTGATACCTTGCTTAAGATACACTTCTTGCCATTGGCTACGAGTGCTTTCAGAGGTCTTCGGGACACTTTATCAAGCACACTCAGAAGTTACCTGTACGTGGACTCATTTTCCTCTGAAACTAGTCCAGTTGTTTTCCTTAAAGGTGCAAGGTTGAAAGCCTTCCTCCTGGCCCGCAGGGGTGATGAGGTGGATATAAAGGCATCTCAAGCAGGATATATTAGATAGGCTTAAGTACAGCTAAAACTAGTCCGATCTGGTCCTGCAGTGCGCTGTTGTGAGCTAGCCAGAAAATGCCAACATTCTGGAACTGCATTTTGATGTTTATTTCAAGTTAACAGAAGTTGGCCAACAGTACAAGTGAGGATGCTGACAATGCTCACGCAGTTGGTGTGCACAGCTGGAACCAGCATCTCCGAGTCCCAGACCTTAGGAAAATAACTGAACCCGGTGACTCTGGAAAGGACACAGAACATTCACTGGGCACTGAGACGTCAAAAACCACTGACCCCTCTCTGGTCCAATTCTGCACACATGCCCAGTGACCCCCTTAACACGTGACTTCTCCTTAGACACTTCTTCACTGCCCCAGCATGAAAAGTAGGCCTTTTCCTTGTAGCATGCTTCCTCTTCCACAGATAAGCCTCGGCTATCACAGGCATCGAGTCTGCAGCTGCCATGTGCATCCTGACAAGACGGCAGAGAGTGAAAACGCTCTATAAGCCTGGCTGTGCACTGGAAAGGTAGATTCAGGTCTCCCTGTGCCGGGAACTCAATGACTTGAGCCATTGCTGGTGTTTCAATCACTTTCTGGCCTTTTGGCTAAGATCAAGTAAGTGCAGGATTTCTAGGAAACTGGAACCAGAGCCGGAAGTCCAACCCACGTACTCCAATATGCGAACACTTTAATCATTAAGTACGTACGATTTAACAAAAGCCAGTTTAGTACAGCCTTCAGGAGTTTGTTTTTTTAAAGTACAAATTCTGGGTCCACTGTGATGGCTCAGTCAACTAATCTAAACCGCCCTTCAAGTGCAGGAGGTTCCCGTGCTGGTTCATGCCCCGGCCGCCCCACTGCCCATCCAGCTCCCTGCTTGTGGCCCGGGGAAGCAATGGAGACGGTCAAGTCCCTACCACCCTGCACCCACACGGGAGACCTGGAAAAGTGTTTGGCTTCAATGGGTTCAGCCCCAGCTGTTGCAGAATTAGGGAGTAAAACACCAGATGGAAGATTTGTCTCCTCTGCTACTCTTTCTAATAAAATTCATCTTAAAAAATTCTAACACATTTCTAAAGAAAAGTAAGAATTCTAACATTCCAATTTGCTGGATGTAGAGAATAGCTAAAAACTAAATTGTGGGGACCAGGTCCCATAGCCTAGTGGCTGAATCCTTGCCTTTCATGCCTGGGATCCCATATGGACACCAGTTTATGTCCCGGTTGCTCCACTTCCTATCCAGCTCCCTGCTTGTGCCCTGGGAAAGCAGTCAAGAATGGCCCAAAGCCTTGGCACCCTGCACCCATGCGGGAGACCCGGAAGAGGCTCCTGGCTTCGGGTTGGCTCAGCTCTGGCTGTTGCGGCCACTTGGGGAGTGAACCAGTGGAAGATCTTTCATCTCCTCCTTATACCTGCCTTTTCAATAAAATAAATCCCCACTAGATTGTAAGGTGGCTAAGCATTAACTGGACAGATTCCCAGTTACTTGTCACCACCATCTACCCAAACAACTAGGGATCAAGCATATACTGAGGCATTTGCACCCAGGATCAAAGTGCTGCCTTCTGCTAATACACTTAGAAGGCAGCAGGTTATGTTGTTTTTTTTTTTTTAAAGATTTATTTATTTCTATTGGAAAGGCGGATACACAGTGAGTAGGAGAGAGATCTTCTGTCCACTGATTCATTCCCCGAGTGCAACAGCTGGTGCGGCGCCCATCTGAAGCCAGGAGCTTCTTCCAGGTCTCCCACACGGGTGCAGGGTCCCAAGGCTTTGGGCCGTCCTCAACTGCCTTCCCGGGCCACAGGCAGGGAGCTGGATGGGAAGCGAGGCCTCGGGATTAGAACCGGTGACCACATTGGATCCTGGCACACGCAAGGTGAGGACGTTAGCCACTATGCTATTGCGCTTGGCCCTTGTAGGTTTTATTCTTGCGACTGACATGGGACAACTTGGGAGTTCCTATCTTCTGGCCTCTGCCTAGCCTAGCTCTAACCATGGGAGTGAACCGCAGGATTTAAGATCTCTCTTACAGTACTTGGGCTAACCTCTGCTGCCTCCAGGCACATTAGCACAAAGTGGAGGAACTGAGACTTTGTCCCAGGAATTCCATTTATGGGATGTGGGCATTCTAGTTGATGGTTTAACCCTGTACCACAACACCAGTTCCAATTCCGTAGCATTAATAAAGTCATCATGCATACCTTCTACACCTAGACTAGTACCTGATAAGGCCCAAGAAGTCTTCAATAAGAAAAATCATAATTGAAAACACAAAAAAGGCTCCTAAGTGTTGTATTTATTCACGTCAACGCAGAGGAAGAATGCACAAAGATGAGAAAACTCCAGTCAGCTTGCTAACTGCTTAAACACCACGCAGGGGAGTTGACGCAAGCTTCTCGTGTGGGACAGGAACAGGTTCCCGAGTGATTCCATTGCCTCCAGGGCCCTCATTATCAGGAAGCACACGGTTGTGCAGCATCAGACAGTACTAACTACAAGGGTAAGCTATTCTTTGGTTTAAGATGTATTTATTTGGAAGGTAGAGTTACAGAGAGGGCGGGAACGAGAAACATCTTCACCTGCTGGTTCACTGACAAATAGGCTGAACAGCCAGGGCTGAGCCAGGATGAATTCAGGACTCTGGGGTACCCCACTCAGGTGTGGGGATCCAAGCATTTGGGCCATCCTCTATTGCTGCCCTAGGCACACTGGCAGGAAACTGGAACAGAATTGAACAGCTGGGACTCAAACCAGTGTTCATATGGGACGCTGGTGCCGCAAGCAGTGGCTTAACCTGCAGCAACACTGCAGTGCCCAAGGCTCAGATGTTCTAAATTTTTGAATTTAAATTCTAATCAACCAGAAGTTCAACAACAAATGCGCACAAAATAATAATTTCATGTTCAAGAAGATTAACACACTGTTCTAAGAGCTCTGTTATGAACCACAGGGGAAAAATCAAAGCAATATTTGTGAACTGCTTTGAAGTTTCTGTAAGAAATCAAGAAGTCTTGTGCATTATCAAGGAACAAAGTACAGAAAAATGGTGGTGGTATTTATTTTCAACTTCCATAAAAGGTATGCATACCTATGTGGAAATCAGGCATTAATTCCAAGCACCAGGCAATACACAGTGTGCTTTTTTTAAAAAGATTTTATTTATTTTTATTGGAAAGGCAGATGTTACAGATAGGAGGAGAGAGAGGAAGATCTTCCGATGATTCACTCCCCAAGTGAGCGCAACACCCGGTGCTGTGCTGATCTGAAGCCAGGAGCCAGGAACTTCTTCTGGGTCTCCCACATGGGTGCAGGGTGCCAAAGCTTTGGGCCGTCCTCGACTGCTTTCCCAGGCCACAAGCAGGGAGCTGGATGAGAAGTGGAGCTGCCAGGATTAGAACTGGCACCCATATGGGATCTTGGTGCATTGAAGGTGAGGACTTCAGCTGCGAGGCCATGGCCCTGGGCCCAGCAGTGTGCTTTCAACGTGCTGCCAATTCACTTTTCCCTTAGGAGTAGTTTACATAATTTCAAATCTATTTGGAATTTCTAACTGGCCACTACTAATCTTTATAGAAAACTTTTTGGGGCCCAATGTGATGGCTCAGTGGCTAAATCCTCGCCTTAAATCCACCAGGATCCCATATGAGCACCAGTTTGTGACCCAGCTGCTCCACTACCCCTTCCAGCTCCCTGCTTGTGGCCTGGGAAAGCAATCAAGGATGGCCCAAAGCCTTGGGACCCTGCACCCATGGGGAGACCCAGAAGAGGCTCCTGGCTCCTGGCCTTGGTTTGGTTCAGCTCTGGCTGTTGTGGCCACTTAGTGAACCAGCAATGAAGATCTTTCTGTGTCTTCTCCTCTCTGAATCTACCTTTCCACTAAAAATAAATCCAAAAAAGGGGTGGGGGAAGAAACTGTCTTCCCATTAATACTATGACTATCCATTATGAGTTAAAACTAAAACAAAAGGTGCTTCGTAATTTTTTATTGATGGCATTTATCCCATGGTTTAACATGTTAATTATACTGTAATAAACATGGCTTTAATATTAAACTTTTCCTTATTATCCAAAGTCACCACAGTCCATTTCAGTAAATATAAAAATATATGCTTAATACTTTGTACAATACTGGTTTTTGGTCCAAATAAAACTGGATCAGAAAAGCCAATAAATTCAACTTTAAGAATCCCCAATTTTTTTTAAAGATTTCCAAATGGATTTAGGTAACTTTGAATAATGGGATTTACATAATAAAATCTGAGACAAGACTTTAACAACAAAAAAGTTCTAACACAAAATTAAAATTTCAAGTTCACAGACTTTATGTTATGCCAAAACAGTACAGAAACAAAATTGTATTTACACAAGTTTCATAATAAAATAATGAAAAAGGCAAGACAGGTGATAGTTAGAGGAATGAAAATATAGAAATAGCATATAATTATTAAATGTAGAATGAGTGAGATCTAACAAGTCCTTAGCATGGACCACTCTTTAATCAGGCTTCCTCTATCAGAAAATTTTAGCGCACGATACACCCAACACGCTCACTTCACACACACACACCAGCACAAACTCAGCATAGAAATCATTCATTTCAACATCCTCTAATCTACACAGAATCCTAATCTATACAGAATTCCTCAGATATAGTTACAATTTCAATGTGTTCCATAAACGCTTATTGACGCACATGGTGGTGCACACGAACAGGTTCTATACAAAGCCATTCACCGTGCAGGCTAATTCCTGGTACAGCCAGACTATGCCAAATCAGTGAATAATCAATCTGTTGGATCACAAAATATTTCCGCTGAAAAATCAGTCAGCAGTCTAGATATTTTTTTTATAAGTGGCAGCGGCAGGGATGGGACTTTCATAAAGAAAAAGGATGAAAATTCCAAAAGTGAATTAGTCCTTAGGCAAATCTGAGTTCAGATAACCCCAGCACATAGTATCAAAGCAGCACGCCAGCTGTCGTCAAAGCTGTTGCGAGCAACACACTGTGACCTTTATTTCTTTCGTCTAACAGCAGTCTTTATCTTGCGACCAGTTCCAGCAGATGAGAACATATTTTTCCCATTTGACCTTTGAAAAATAAAGACAAGTAACACAATAATCAAAGCCAAATTCCAGAATCATTCAACATGATCAGCAACAAAGGGGAGGGAGTTTGGGGGGATAATACACTATTAAAGGAAATATATTTTGTATTGTTTTTCTTAACAGACATGTATTTGCAACTTCTCAGACTTAACAATGTGATAAACTGAGGGGGGGAAGCAATTCAATTTTACCCATAACACACTGCACATTGATGATGTGCAAAAGCAAAACCCATAGCACACTTTAGCAAAACAGATTTCCCATTTGAACAAACTCTTCTCTTACCCCACTGTAAACATAGCTGGAGTCGGGTTAAAGGGAAAGCTCCCGGAGCCTGAAGGCTGCGTTGAGGCTGCAGGCGTACTCAAACTTGCTCCAAAGGTAAAAACGCCTGTTGGATTATTGTTTGTGAAGTTGAAATTTGTTGTGCTGCTACCAAACTGGAAAACCGAACCTGTTAACAGTTGAATCAAAACACACTCAATTATTTATGGCAAAAAGGATGGATTTTTTTTTTTTTTTAAAGTAACAATTCTGACCTCTACATACAAAAACATAAAGTATTAAAGATTTCTTACTGGCACTTTCTAAAGTAAAATATTTTCTTTGCTTACACAGGTACCAGTACAAAGTTAATAATTTCAGCAGGTGAACAACTTACCCATGATCAAGAAATAAAGGCAGAGTGGACTTCTAGTTAAAGACAGCGGGATCAACAAGCATGTTTAGCTCTAATGTCCTTGAAAAGTGCATTAAAATGATAAGGTGATTTTAACAAAGATTAGGGGAGAGGAAACAGCAGAGACAGAAGTTTAGAAGCTGACAGGCAAGCTAACTAGAGCTGAGTAACAAATTAACAACAGGGAAAGCAGAGAGCAATTCCATGTATACTACACATATCCCAAAGGTTTAGGACCAGGTACTTTTCAAAGTAAAAATAAAGTAAGTGGGACTTAATTAAAAAAAAAAAAAATGTGGGCCAGCGTGTGGAGTATCTTCATGATAACCAGATCGCTCCCTAACACCCTCTTTTGCAGCTCAGCAGAAGACAAACTCTTGAAGTGCCGAGCTGAGGGATACCACGACTCGGCATCAGAACTCAGGGTTCGGAAAGCAGGCAGATCCATAAATACCAAGAACACCAATCTCGCCCTTACCCTAACTCAGCTGCCAGAAACACTGGTGAGCACTTCTTAGCCTCATGCAAGACACTGCAAGCTGCTTCTACGGGTCACCGGGCAGTCTGAGCAAACACCGAAAGGGCCTACTTTCCCAAAGTAAAATGAAGCTAGATAGCAAGAACAACGAAATTCAAAATTCAAGAAAGTCCTAACAATATAAGAAGGTTCAGAGGTCCTACCGTCCTGAAACTATGAGAGTCAGGGGGCAATACATATCTAAAGCCAATATTTAATAAATATCAAAAACAAAGTAATGATAAGAGAAAAAATAATCTGTAGCAAACTAAGCAATTTGTAGCAAACTTTAAAGGAAAGAACAAGAACAGCGGGTGGGACGGCAGTGGAGCTGGTTAGATCACTATTGGCACACCACTTTCCAAAGCTGCATGTCAGTTCAAGTTCTGGCTGCTTCCTCGGTAAATGTACCTGGGGAAATAGTGAATGATGGTCCAAGTACTTGGTCCCTGGATCCCTTCCACCCATGAGCAAGACCTTAATGGAGTGCTGGGCTTCAGCTATGCGTCTTTACGCCCTGCTATTACCCTTAAAAAAAAAAATAAACAAACAGATCTGGGGGTAGGGAGTGGGTGGCAGAGGCAAAAACTTGTCAACAAAAATATTATCAAGAGATCAATATGGTACTCTGGCATTGTGGCCTGACTGGTAAAGCAGCATCCATTACTGCAGCCTGTTCAAGACCCTACTGCTCGGCTTACAATCTAGCTCCCTGCTAACGGCCTGGGAAAAAAACCCGAAAGATGGCCCAACTGTTTGCCACATGTGGGAGATCTGCTTTTCCAATAAAAATAAATCTTAAAAAAAATGAAAAATATGCTGTGATCAGTCCTATTTAAAAAGCCATGGGACCTTTTGTTGCACAGACTGCTTCATCATCAATGAAGTCAGCCGGACAAACCCAGGTTGCAAAGTCGAATTTCCAGGATTGGCAATGTGTTATGGCAGACTAGGCCACTGCCCACACACAATGCTTCCAGCTGCTCCACGAATGCAGCTTTGTCTGTGCCCAAGAAAGGCAGTGGATGACTGCCAAGCTCCTCAGGCCCCTGCCAGCCACACGGAACACCTACTCGGAGTCCTGGGATGCTGCCTTTGGCCTGGATCTGTGCTGTCCATTGTAGCTATCTGCAGGAGCCAACCAGCCAATAGAAAACCTTCCCCTCACCTTCTAACTCTTTCAAACACATCTTTAAAAAAAAAAGTCCAAAATTCCAAGGAGAAATATGGGATTGAACAAATCCCACATTGGAGCAAAAAATAAACCTGTAACGCACATATGCTTCATTACCTGAAAAGCACTCATTTTATGAAATTGGAGAAATTTATAGGTTTATCTAAATATTTACCTCTCTATTCTGCCACATGTAAGAAATACTAATAATTAAAAACCATATGCATGATTTGAAAGATACACAGGGGCCCAATGCGATAGCGTAATGGTTAAGTCCTCGACTTGAATGCACAAGGATCCCATATAGAAGCCGGTTCTGATCCAGGCAGCTCCACTTTCCATCCAGCTCCCTGCTTGTGGCCTGGGAAAGCAATCGAGGATGGCCCAAAGCCTTGGGACCCTGCACCTGCATGGGAGACCGGGAAAGAAGTTCCTGGCTCCTGGCTTCAGATCAGCATAGCACTGGCCACTGCGGCTGCTTGGTGGGTGAATCATCGGATGGGAGATCTTTCTGTCTCTCCTCCTCTCTGTACATCTACCTTTCCAACAAAATAAATTAAAAAAAAAAAAAAAAAAAAAAAAGATACACAGAAGCTAAGTGCATGTAAAATATGCCTCAGTGAATATACACTTGCCAGAATTAGGAGCTGCTCCAGAGCCAAATGCAGACTGAGTAGGCTGCTGCCCAAACACAGGAAGCTGGCTGCTGCTTGACACTGTCCCAAAAGCAGGTGGCTGGGAAGCAGCAGAAAACAACGCTGTTGACGATGAGACAGATCCAAAGCCTTGAGGAGCAGGCTGGGTGGCACCTGGATTTTGTCCAAATGTTGGGGTCTGGGTAGCACCAAATGCTGGACTGGCAGATGGTGCTGAAGCTGCTGTACCAAATACAAAGGAGGATCCTGGAGACCAAAACAACACGTCACCATGATGTAACCAGCTAAAGGGAGACAATTCTGAAAAGCTGTCTCTAACCCCACAAGCACATTTCCAGCTTCTGTTCAACCTCCTAGCCCACTGACCAAATTAGATCGAGTTTTAAATTGATATAACTCACTCTACCCGTACTTACTAACCACACAGAATATAAACAACTTTAATAACTTCTTTTTTGAAGGAATGCATGCATAGTATTGTGCAGAAGTAACTGCCTATCAGTGTACCTATGAACATGCTGCACAGCAAAGAGTTGATGAAATAGCCAGTGCCTGGTGTCTGGTTACTTTTAAGTTAACATTTCAAAAAGAAAACCTAAAAAAGTTAAATACTATTCTCATGGAGATTAGAAAAATTGTTCCCAAGAGGAACACTCAGCCTGAATGCAAGTGCACAGCCCTCCCACACCTAGTACACCTGGTACACCAGCTTAGGCACTCAAGTCATGTCAGCATGGCGACAGCCTGCTACTGAATGTGCTAAAGGGCTAAACACGCTCATGAGAGCAAAGCCAACTCAAATGTGCTTCTTCTAGTGTGTCTAAGTACCTGCAGAGCTAGATGTGGTTGTAGCTCCGAAGGCAAAGCCAGAGGTTGCAGCAGCACTGTTACTGCTGGTGCCCGAACCAAAGACCAATGAGGTGGAAGCTGTACTTGTGCTGGATGTGACTGCTGGCTTGTTATCTTGAGAAAACAGCAGAGATCGAGAAGTACTGGGCTCAGCAGAGTTACCAAAAGCAGGACTGCTCACAGGGTTGCTGGACTGTCCAAACACAAAGGCTGACATCGGCTGACTGGAGGAGAAGGTTAAATTACCAAAGATGCTACCACTACCAGTTGTAGTGGTTGGTATACTTGAACTAGAGGAGTTGTTCAAGAAACTAAAAACAGGTTTTGCTGTACTTTGATCTGTAAGATAGAAATTAAGAAGCAATCTTTAAGAACAAAATCATTTAAGAAACCATTTTCCTCCCACAATACAGTCCCAGCTGCTCTACTTTTGATCCAGCTCCTTGCTAACATGCTTGGGAAGACAGCAAAACATGGCCCAAGTAGGTGAGCCCTGACATCCATGTGGCGGACCAGCTCCGGGCCCAAACCTGGCCCAGCCGCAGTCATCGTGGTCAGCACGTGAGGAGTGAAGCAGGAGGCAGCAGCTCACTGTGTCTCTCCCTCTCTCTCAAACAAATATTTAAAAAATAGAATTAAGTAGTATTTACTCCTATGAGTAAAATCCCTTGACCTTTTCATGATACGTATTTATAGGTAGGTATCTACCTACTGGTTCACTGCCCAAATGTCTACAATGGCCAGGAGCTTCCCTCAGAACTCCCAAGTGGGTGGGTGCCTGGGTCCAAGCACGTGGGCTGTCCTCCAATGCCTTGCAAGGTGCATTAGCAGGGAGCTGGATAGGAACAGGAACAGCCAGGACTAGAACTGGTACCTGTGGGATGCCAGTGCTATTGGAAAGGCAGATAGAAGTATAGAGAAGGAGAGACAGAAAGATCTTCTGCCCACTGGTTGGCTCCCCAGATGCCCTCAAAAGCCAGCACTGAGTTAGACCAAAGCCAGGGACCAGTAGTTGCATCTAGGTCTCCCACATGGGTAACAAGGTTCCAAACACTTGGTCCATCTTGTGCTGCTTCCCCAGGCCCATTAGCTAGGAGATGGTTCTTTAGTGACTAAATAGGCTGTCACAGTTTGTGGCTGAAGTCCACGGTTTGCACACGCCAGGATTCCATATGGGCTCCAGTTCTACTCTCAATGGCCCCACCTTCCCATCCAGCTCCCTATTTGTAGCCTGGGAAAGCAGTCGAGGATGGCCCAAAACCTTGGGATCCTGCACTTGTGTGGGAGACCTGAAAGAGGCTCTGGGTTCCTGGCTTCATATTGGCACAGCTCCTGCAGTGGTGGTCACTTGGGGAGTCAATTAGCGGACAGAAGATCTTCCTCTGTGTCTCTCCTGCTCTTTGTATATCTGACTTTACAATAAAAATAAAACCTTTTTAAAAATTGTATTTTTATCTTCTTAGGATATCTCACTTCTTCTTCAATTTGTTTTAAAGATGGATGGAAAGTAGAGCAGCTGGGACACAAACCAGTAGGATAGCTTTCAAAATCACCAGTTTTCTGAGGAATTCAATTTATTCCTGATCTTTAAAGAGCTGATGATTGATAATATTCAATTTGTATTGTAAATAAGGACTTTACATAGTTGAGACTATATTTTCACAAACTCAATTTCCGAGCAGAGCATGATGGCTCAATGGCTAAAACCTTACCTTGAATGTACTGGGATCTCATACAGGCACTGGGAGAGCAAGGGAGGACAGCCCAAAGCCTTGAGACCCTGCACCTGCGTGGGAGATGTGGAAGAAGCTCCTGGCTCCTGGCTTCAGATCAGCTCTCCCTGTTCCGCCACAGAGGGAGTGAACCAGCAAACCAAAGATCTTTCTCTCTGTCTCTCCTTCTCTCTCTAAATCTGTGTTTCCAATTAAAAAAAAGCATCTTAAAAAAAATATTCTGTTTTCTCAAATAGTATATACTAATTATGATGATAAATGTCATGGAAAAGGAAGAACGACATATATAGCACCATTCTGAGTTTTCCATTACAACTCTACTTCTTCAAACTCCATCTATAAATAGCACCATCAAAATAAGTGTTTAGAGTAGTTACAATTGAAAACCCTAGCCTCTTTTCCAAGGAATCCTAATTGGTACCTGGAACTGTAATCCGTGGAAATCAATCCCTGCCCTAATGGATTTGCTGAACTATCAGACATCCTGTTACCACCTTCCCCTTTCCCCCATCAACCCTCTCCCCACTTCCGGGACAAAGCTGTAATACTTACCTGCAGCTGTGGTACTGGCTTGGGTTCCAAAAGCAAAAGTGGTTTTTCCTGGCTGTTCTGCTTCCTTCTCAGATGACTTTACCATATTAAAACTAAACGTTGCCTTTGAACTCTCATCTTTGGTTTGCTCTGAATTTCCAAAGGAAAACACTGGTGGACACTTTGGCTCTTCTTTGTCAGTTTTCTTCCCCAAAACAAGAGATGTAGAAGTGACAGGCTCTTGCTGTTTCTCGTCTGTCATTCCCAAAGTGTACCTTGTGACAGTTGGCAGAGAGGCAGGTTCCACGCTACCAAAACCAAACCCTCCTTTGGGCGCAGACATTTCTTCTTTCTTTGCTTCCGGCGTCTTGCAGGTGAAAGGAGCAATGGAGACACTCTTGGTTTCTGTGCTTCCAAAGCTGAAGCTGCTCTTGTTCTCGGAGGTCACTAAGCTGTTAGCAGTAGGCGTGGAGTTAACAACACCTGTAGCAAAGCTAAAGCCTGCAGATGATTTAGAAGCTTCTTCTTTCTTTTCCTGTTGCCCAAGGTTAGATATCCCAAATTGCAATGGAGCTGAAGAAGCTGGGTTGCTAAACCCAGAAGAAAGTCCAAATGTAAACTTATTCTCATTCTTACTGTCTTTTTTAACTTCTTCAGGTTTAGGATCGGATGAAACTCCAAATTTAAAATCTCCCACTGGTTTGGAAAACTTAAAGCCCTCACTCAAAGGATTTCCGGACAGAGACTCAGATGACACGCCTATTTTGAATCCTCCCTGATCTCCAAATTTAAAATTTCCAGTGTTTGTTAAAGTTTGAGAAGAACCAGAAGATGAAGATGATGATGATGGGATACCAAATTTGAAGGGGGAGTCTGCTGAGTTCGAAGATGCAGATGATGTACCAAAGCCTTCAAACAAAGATACCATAAATACTGAATTAATACGTTTATCCTCTCAATCAAAATGTAACCCTTCAAAGCAGCACACAAATAACTTTCAAACAGCAGGACGCGTGAACTATGCTGCCCAATGTTCAAAAGAATCACGTCTCAATCCACACAACTAAGGTGACCTGTCATATTGGTTACTAGAACGAGAGTTAACAGGCAAGAGTACATGCAAGTTGGCAGGAAACTTGTGGGAAGCTGTTTGTCAATACTTATCAAAGTTAGACACACACATATACCCTTTGGTCCAGCAATTCTATAGCTGTGACTTTAACATAAACTTGCAGACATGCAAATACTGCGTAAGTAGCTGTTAAGAATAAAAATAAGGACATGTCCAAGACAGTTCATGATAAATCAAAGGGGAGGAGGGAGTGTTTTCTAACACAGCAGAAGGAAATGTTTGCTTAGGGCGGGGGCACCAGGAAACTTCGAATTGGCCATAGCTATCACCTGGAGGGAAGATGATGATAAGATAAAACGTCAACAGGGGGCAGCACTGTGGTACAGTGAGCTAACCTGCTGGTGAGATACCAGCATCCCAGGCAAAGCAGGTGCAAATCCTGGCTGTTGTACTTTCAATTCAACTCCCTGCTAATGCACCCGGGAAAGCAACAGAACATGGACCAGTGCCTAGGTCCCGCCATTTGGCTGGGAGACCAGAATTCAGTTTCTGGTTCCTGCTCAGTCCCAGCCACTGTGGTGAGCTGGGGAGTAAACCAACAGACGGAGGATCTCTGTCTCTAACTCTGCCTTCCAAAAATGAGCCAATGGGACAACAGAATTGTCACAGCTTTGCGCAAAATATATCTGTGAGGCAGGCAGACAGACGGCTCCCATGCTGAATATACTGTCAAAAGCCTTTAATGGTTCAGTTTTCACATCAGGAACACAAACTGGGCACCCCAGGTGGATGACAGGAACTCAATTACTAGGGCCATAACCTACTGCCTCACAGTTTCCTAGATTAAATGCATATTCTCATTTTTTTTTGGGTCTTATAAATACATTTATTCAAAATTTAAAAATGTGACACAAAAGCAGAACACATGAATTGATGCTGCATTTGTAAAAATAAGTATTATACTGTCAAGGTCAAATCTTGGTTCTAAATGTTCTCAGTAATAAAACAAAAAAATTATTAAAAGATACCAAGATATTTATGCGTTGCTGTTTATCCATAAATGAAGACAAGCGTCAGCCAAGTCTTACAAGCCCTCATCCTCATATTCTTAATTTAAAGAGTACCTACCCACCCAACTTCCTCTATTAAGAGAAACTTAGTTGGGCTTTTGGTATAGCACACTACGAACTGTAACAAATTGAGTCCCGGATGCTACACTTCCAAACAGCTCTCTGCTGAAGGCCTGGGAAGGCACCAGAAGATGGCCCACATCCTTGGAGCACTGCAATCATGTGGGAGACCTGGAATAAGCTCCTGGTCCCCAGCTTTGGACAGGCCCAGAGCTGGGCCATAGCAGCCATTTGGGGAATGAACATCTCTCTCAGTCTTTCCCTCCCTCTAATCTTCTCAAGCAAAACAAATAAATCAATCTGGAAAAAAACCCCTGAGGCGTAAAATTCCATCAGTCTCAGGAGCAGTATATACACGGCTATATCCATGGTCACTAAAATATGATAAACAGCATCAGAGCCCAGCACAAGAACCAAGAAGGGGTAGGAATTGTGGAACAGCAGGTAAAACTGTCACTGTGATGCAGCAGCCTGATGGAACTTCCACTTCAGCTCCTGACTAATGGGCTTAGCAAAAGCAGTACAAGATGGCCCACGTAACCTGGGCCCTGACTCTCACTTGGGAGACCTAGATAAAGTTTCTGGCGGGCTTTGGCTTGGCTCAAGTCCTCACCACTGTAATCATTTGGGGAGTGGAGCAGTGGATGGAAGATCTCTCTCTCTTTCGCTCTCTTTCAAATAAATAACACTTAAAAGATATTCTACCAAAGATAGAGAAAATCCTTTGCCCAGCTGCAGAAACGATTCCTCACTAGCAACTGGCAACCAGTTTGACTCTGTAACACTGTGTAAATATTGTGCTTTGAAATGACAGCTCAAAAAGGCGCGTGCCCACTGTCCTACCTGTGAACTCCGACTGTGTGCCTGGCTTTGCCGCTTCGCACGCCGCACATTTGGTAGCGTCTGCTTTATTCTGCACTAGGCACACAGCACAGTCCCAGCTTCCCTCAGGTTTCTTGAACTTGTCCAATCCCAGAGAGCTTCCAGAAGCCACAGACGCAGGAACAGAGCTGCTACTTGAAGCAGGTACACTTCCTAAAAAACAGTAAAATCGGATTATACTCATGGCATGTTAGCAGTATAATCTTCAACATGAACATTGTTAAAAAATAGAAGTCTTTACATTTCCCTTAGCCTTATGATGAACAGCAGCTCACACTAACCTTGCTCGGTGGTGAGCTCCCTTTCAGAGATTTTTTTAAAGATTGATTGATTGGTCGATTGCAAAGTCAGATATACAGAGTAGGAAGAGAGAGAGAGAGAGGAAGAACTTCCGCCTGATGGTTCACTCCCCAAGTAGCTGCAACGGCTGGAGTTGAGCCAATCCGAAGCCAGGGGCCCAGAGCTTCTTCTGGGTCTCCCACACAGGTGCAGGGTCCCAAGGCTTTGGGCCATCCTTGACTGCTTTCCCAGGCCACAAGTAGGAGCTGGACGGGAAGCTGGGCCGCTGGGATCAGAACCGCTGGCCCATATAGGATCCTGGCGCATTTCAGGCAAAGACTTTGGCTGCTAGGCCATTGTGCTGGGCCCCTTTTCAAAGTTTTAACTATCCTGGCTTACAAAGCAAAGTCAGAGTGGGTACTGTGGCACAGCTAGTTAAACCACCACCTAGTGTGACAGCATCTCTTGTGGGTGCCAGTTTGAGCTCTGGGCGTCCCACTTCTAATTCAGTTCCCTGAAAATGAGCTTGGGAAAATAGCAAAGAATGGCCCAAATGCTTGGACCCCTGCATTTGGCCCAGCACACAACTCTAGCTTTTATGGCCATCTGGAGAGTGAAACAGTGGATGGAAGATCTCAATCTATCTTAAAATCATACTCACAAACTGAACTCATTCAAGTAATAGAGTAACACAGAAAATTTCACAGCTCCAGACCATAATTTCAAATTGCAAACAGCTCTGTTACTTGAAATGAACACTGTTGCTCAGCTGGTGCTCTATCATCCACTTTACAACTCGATGTCCCATCTACTGACACTCCTATTATAATACTAAGCTCCAAACTATACTTGGGGTTTGGAGATTTTGTTTAAAATGAACGAAATTTTAAACATCAATATAGAGCAGCGCCATCACCTAGAGAAACAAGTGAAACACCTAATTCAGTCTTTACGCAGAACTTGCATGCTTGCGAATGAAAGCAGACAGCGTGCAAGGATGCCTAAGCAAGTCTCAGAAGATGATACCAGGGTGCAGTTGTACGCTCTTGTGTCCCTGCCCCTCTGGGGCGCTCCAACCATGGTCACCTCTCTCCCACGGCCACAGACTAGCTGCTGATTTTACAGATGTTCTCCTCCAGCCACAACACTATCTCCAGAGTTCCATCTTTGGTTCACTGGCCTCGCACGCTCTACTCTGATGGTTTTCTCTATTCTGTCTACACCCCACACTTCTTCTCAGCATCACTGCCGTGATCTCCCAGTAGTAGCTCCATTGTCCTCACGACTGGCCCTCCTCCTCCTTCAAACATTTCTCACGTCCTTTTCAACTTTTGGATTTTTTTTTTTGACCCTTCTACTTGATGCTCTGGTTCAAGCTCCTCCTATTTCTTGCCTAAAAACCTGCTTTCTTATTTAGATTTCTGATCTTGTTCATTTAAAATTCATCCTCAGGAGCAACTAGTGAGTGTTTTTTCCCCCCTCTCTGGTTGCTCCTTAAAAGATCAACCCGACAGGCAACCGTTGTGGTGTATTAAGTTAAGCCACCACCTGAAGAAGTGGTATTCCACATATGTGCCAGTTTGACTTCTCGCTGCTCCACTTCTGATCCAGGTGGGAGAACTGAAAGAAGCTCCTAACTCCTGGCTCTGGCCTAGCCTAGCTCTACAATGCGGCCATTTCAGGAATTAACCAGCTGACAGAAGATCTCAAGGTAACTTTGCCTTTTAAATGGACAAATAACAAAAAGTAAAACAAAAAAAGTGCTGGTGCTGTGGGTAAAGCAGTGGCCTCCAGGCACCGCACACGAGCCACACCCCAGTTTGAGTCTCAGCTGTTTCTGATCCAACTTCCTAATGAGAGCAGTGGAAGACAACCCAAGTGCTTGGACCTCCGCATCCCGTGGGAGACCTGAATGAACCTGCTGACTCTGGACATGGCCAGTTCCAACCACTGTGGCCATCTGATTAACAGTGGACAGAAGATCTCTTTCTCACTTATCTCTGACCTTTAAATAAATCTCTTTAAAATAAAGAGATGGACTTATATTGACTCTTATTTATCCCTGCCACTATCTTAGCAGAGTCTACATAAACCTGAATGTCAAGCAGCTTCAAATGAAGATGTTTTCAAGTGTACCTTACTATCTCCCTTCTCATACTCATTTGACTACATTAGCATATCTCATAATTGTCCTTCACAGTACTGAGAGAACTTCCTAATCTGTCCTTCAATCTCTCAATTTAGCTGTTTTCAATCTCAAATTTTTTCTCCAACCACCAGAGTGATTATCAAAAACAGTAAACCTGACCATATCATTTGCCAGCTGAAAGTGATGTTATATAACATATAGTCTTCATTTCTTTAGTACATGAAAGTAGTTGTGGGGTAAAATTCACTGCTTGCATCAACTCAGAAGTTTGCTTTTCTGCATGGGAGGACTATCACCGTCTAAGAAACACCAGACGGAAATAGATATTCCAGGCTTCAGTTTCTGAAATCTAATTCTTGTGGTAATACCCAGGAGAAATTAAGAAACACAGTTTCAGTGCGAAGGCAAGAGATCTAGGCTAATACCTCCAGAGCTTCACATTACAGACACAGACCGACACATCCATACATAAAGCAGTAAAACCAGGAGGTATAATTTCTAGGACATCTGTGTTTTATTTGGCACCCATGTTACCATATAGCTGCATCATGTAATTATATGATAGATTATACAATCAGCCAAGATCAAACTCAAGATTTAGGTAAATCTAAAATCATTCCAATGTTTGAACATAGGAAAATACAAATACCTATTTTTTTCTGGCTACCTAAGGGCTTTTTTTTTTTTAACTGACAATTCAGCAACTTACTGCCTCATCTGTAAACAACCAATGGCTGTTTTCATTTCCTTTTAAAGAAAAATACATAAAGGAATGTACTTTTCTATATAAAGGTCTGAGAGAGAGACTGTCACACTCAGATCTTTAGCATCCCTATTTGTCAACTTTCAAAATAACCGGACAAACCAAGACGATAACAATGCATGGAAGGAGGTCAGTGCACACACAGGACTCCCATACAGCCCATGCTAACTCAACATGGAGAGTTAGCCTCCAGCGAGCAATATAAACCTCAAAACAGTTTAGAATAATTAAGATGAGGAAATGCTTATCTTGGAATATTTAAGATACTGGGGTGTCATTAGCTGTTTTACAGGGAATAAGCTAAAATGTTTTATTAAAGTAATTAGCAAGAATATTTTATACAGCCATAAACATACCTGGTTTCTCAGACATACAGGACACACATTTATTGTCTTCTGCATTATTAGTAACACAGCATATTGGACACTCCCAAGACCCCACAGGCCTTTTGAATTTATCTCCAAATCCTAAGGAACCAGAGGTCGCGGTGCAGCTGGCAGACGAGGCAGTCACGGTCACAGCACTCTCCGGAGCAGCTGTCAAAGTCAGGGTGCGCCTCACACCAGTCCCAGGTTTCGGCGTTTCACAGGCTACACATTTTATTGCTTCAGGTTTATTCTGCACTAAACACGTGTCACAATCCCAAGTTCCTACTGCTGGTTTAAATTTGTCTCCAAAGCCAGTTCCTGATGCAGGAAGAGTTGCTTTGCTGCTTTTGCTTGGTGTCCCAATTTCAGTCTGTTTGACACTATCTCTCGGTGGCGATTTTGCTGCTTGACAGGCTACGCACTTGTTATCTGTAGCTTTGTTTTGGATTAGACATGTATCACACTGCCATGATGATGCAACTTTCAAGCTTTCCCCAAATCCACTACTACTAGAAGAAAAGCTACTTATTGCTGGTCTTGTATAAACTACCGGGCTTGTTGTGGTGGGCGGAGCAGCAAGACAATCTACCTTCGGTGACGCAAAATCTGCAACGGAGGAAGTAGAATAAGCACGAGAGTCGGAGAACTGCAATGTTTTTCACCCAGGCAGTCATATTTATCAATAACATGACTAATGACACGTAGACTTTGTAAAAATTCCATAAAGGTCTCTTGTTTATAATATACTTTCTAAGAGTTTCTACTTTATCAAAGTTTCCCTCCCTCGTCTCTGTCTTCTTTCTGGTGTTCCTTGTCTGCAAAATGAATTCCGTGTCTATATAATACACGCCATGTTGTCATCTATGCTAATACGAAAACTTACACAGGGGAAGGTACTTTCAATTTATCATAAGATGGGCGGGTTTATTTTAACTACATTAAACTTGTAAAATAGTAATGTTTCCATGACAAATGCAAATTCCAAAATGCCCAATTCTCTGGCCAAGATCTAGACACAGAACAAGTTTTAAGTCTTGTTCTAGGATGAGGCTTTGGGCCTGCAGTCAAGATGTCAGCTGGGGGACAGGCATTGTGACACCAGCACCCCAAAAGCACTGGAGTCCCAGTTCCTCCATTTTCAATGCACTTCCTTGCTAACGAACCTGAGGCAGAGGAAGATGGCCCAAGGGAGACTTGGCTTAGAGTGGTCTATATCTCTTCCTCTCTATAACCAACTATAAAATACATTTGAAAAAGAAAAAAGTCTGTTGGGACACTTGCATCCTCTATCAAACAGCCTGAGTCGGTGTCCCAGAAATGCTTCCAATTTCCAACTTGCCTGTATGGGCATTTAGGGAGTGAATAAAATGATTAAAGCTTTTTTTTTTTTTTTTTAATAAGATTGGTGGCAGACCCTGTGACTGTGAAATGTATTGGAAAGGGTGTTTGGGGATGTGTGGGAGGGGAGACCGCTGAATGTAAGTACATTACAGGCCAAGGACTTCTGGGTAATGTCCACGGGCTGGGCCACTGCAACTGCAGTTAAGCAAGGGGGCTGAGACCTGGTGGTTTGGAAGGGAGAGGACATGTTTGAGACATACCAGGACACCTGCCAACATGGAAGATGTGGGCTGGACTAGCTGGCATCCACCATGGACAAACGGCGAACATGAATGCAAGGGTTGGGGAGCCTGCCTAGCAGGACTAGGCCATGGTACCAGCTGTCAGGGAGTGACGCAGCACTTTGTGGGTGATGTTAGGCTGGGACATGTGACTAAAACAGGCAAGTCTGGGGGGCAGACTCTAAGGCACACTGAGCAAGGTATGCTTAAGTGCATGGAAGCCGAATGGGATGTGGGGCAGCCTGGGCCAGTGTGTTGCGCACACACCTGCACATGCAGGAAATACAGATGGGGGCCGCCCTGGTGAGGGTTATTGGGAGTCGCTCCGACTAGGCTGCAGTTCCCACTACTAAGTTCCTGAAGGCCAGATGTGTGGTGGGCAGGGTTAGGCTGGGCCATGACTTCTGCTGGTTTGTGTACGAGATGGGGTTGGGGACAGAACTTACCAGGTGACTGCAATCACCAGTGTCTACAGGCTGATGGGGACAGAGTAAGCCAAACCCTGCACTGGCTGGCACATACAGGAGTCAGCTGTGGGAACACCCAATTGAACTACTAGAAACTCAAATTTAAGTAACAGAAAAAATTACAGAATCTGTGGTCTGATCGTCGAATGTGCATGTGTCAGAACTTGGTCTCCTCGCTCCTGTGCAGCATACAGCATTGCCCAGATGCACATGGGGGATATGGCAGCTTTGGTGAGGCTGCAGAGGACACCCAGTGCCATGGCAGAGGATGCAGGGCAGAACAAACTGATCAACTCTCCTGACTAAGCTCTGATAGCAAGTATCTGGGGGAACAGTGACGCTGAGGTGGACCATGACAGCTGATGCCTTATTATGTATGTCATACTGACCTATCTCTAATAACAGGAAACTCATTTTCTTTACATTTACCTCCTGAAGAATAGAAGATTTGCCTCTAATTTTATTACATAGCCCTTGCATTGCAAAGTGTATTTTCACAAGAGAAATTAACATCTAACTATATCTACTTTCAAACACACCTCTTATCAAATTAACCAATTAAAAAAAAAAGCCTGAAGTATTACACAAGAGATTAAAATGAAATCATGAATTTGTGTGATTTTTAACTATCTCAAGGGCAGCCATTATCTTACCAGGGTTTTTCAGAAGATCAAGAACACTCCCTTCCTTCATAGTTTTTGCAGGTCTAAAAGGACCCTCATAATCTTCACCTTGCCTCTTGGTACAGCTTGTACTGCTGTTTGCTGCAGTGGTATCTTGAGCTGTAATTAGTTTAATTATAAAAGGCATTTTATATATACATATATTTTTGAAAGCACTGGAATTAAATGCACTAAAAACAGCTTGCAAATTCAATTCTCTCGGATCAGTTTCTAAAAATTTATGGAAAAAAGCCACTATTAACAAACCTATGTTAGTATTTAAAGCAAGCATTCTGGAGCTGTTGGAATGCCCACAACTCAGAGGACCTGGATGTGAAAGCCATCTCTGGCTGTTGGTTTCAGCCTCTTACTAATGTAGATTCTCAGACAGCAGGGACAATGCACAACTAGGTGGGTTCCTGCCTACTCCCACGAGATGTGGATTGAGTTCGTCTCCTGGCTTCTGGCCACACACGCTGTTACTCTGTTTGGAGAGTCAATTGGTGAATGGGAGATTATTCAAAAAACTAATTTTAAACAACCTGTAATAGGAGCCCAGTATGATGTTCAACTGGTTAATCCTCTGCCTTCAAGCACTGGCATCCCACATGAGTACTGGTCATGAGTAGGCTCTGTTCCACTTTCAACTCTATTTTCTGCTTAAGGTTTGGAAAAGCAGCAGAGTCGGAGGATGGCCCAAAGACCTGGGAACCTTTAATGAATGGCAGACCCAGAGGAGGCTCCTGGCTTCAGATCAGTCCAGCATTGGCTGTTGAGGCCATTTGGGGAGTGAACCAGCAGACGGAAGACCTTTCTTTCGTCTCCTCTCTGTAAACCTGCCTTTCCAATAAGAAAAAATGAATCTATTCACACATTTTCAGCTTTTCCAAATGAAGGATATAGTGAGAACCACAAGCAAATGTGTCAAAATGAGAACATTCAATTCCTCATAAGCCACTCAAAATCAACTCCTTAAAAATTCGAGTAATCTCTCAAGATTTAATGAAACAGAAAGCTTTTCTAACACTTTTACACTCATTCAGGTACCATGAGTAAGCTATTAGTAAAAATGGAGAAACATTTAGGCACTTTTCCTGATAACAAATCATAAAATTGGTACTAACTAGACAGGTTTTTCATGAATTTAGTAACATTGAAGGAAATAAGCTTGTCATAAGATGTACATGTAGAACTGAAATTACAAGGCCAGTGCTGTAGTATTACAGATAAAGCTGCTACCTGTGACGCCTGTATGCAAATGGGCTCCAGTCTGAATTCTGGTCCAACTCCCTTCCAACGTGTCTGGAAAACAGTGGTGGACGGTCCAGGTGCCTGGGTCCCTGTCATCCCTACGGTACACTCAGAAGAAGGTTCTGGTTCCTGGCTATAGTCTAGCTTATTAGCCCTGGCTGATGCAACCAGTTGGAGAATGAACCAGCAGACAGAAGTTTTTCTCTCTCTCTCATTCTTTGTAACTCTGCCTTTCAAGTAGTCAGTCTAAAAAACCCTGCTTGTTACTTTAATACAAAGGGATATGCTATTTTGTCCAATAAAAATAGGATTTCACATAGGCCATTCAAATCTATGTTTATGCTCTGATCATTTAGACCATGCTAAGCTGAGAAGGCCTTCTTTGCTGACACCAGCTCTTTCATTCTCTTTTGAAGGATTCAGTTTTAGAAACCTCACAGCAGAGAACAGCAACCCTCAACTGATGTTTTTACTTGTACCACTCCTCATTCCTATCCACAGCCCTACGCCACATACACATCACTGCCGATGCACTCCACGATTACTCTCATACTAAAATTCCTCAATATCACTCCCTATTTTTACAATAAAATCCAATGCTTAGCACAACATACAAGAGTTCTTTAGATTTAAAACTACCACTACAACCTACTGATATACTACATCACAAAAATCCCATTTTATTATCTCATTACTCACCTCTTTTAATACTGATTTTTTAGTAATAAAATTTTGAACCACCACCCAACGCAGAAGCACACAAGCATAAATACTGCAAATAAAATACTTGTGATGTACAGTAAAACTAGAGATGACATCACTACAATTAAACAGACAACTTAAAAAAACAACAAATTATTTGCAGCTGGAAATAATCCCTGTACTAACAAAACTGCAAAATTTACCTGTAGAGCTTTTTCCTAAATGAAAGCATTTAGAAGAATTAAGATATGAGAAATATTTGAAAACACTAATCTAACACATGCAACTGCCGTTATGTTAAAAATTGTGAGAAAGTGTTACTTACCAGAACTACTTATAATTGATTCTGAAGCATTGCTAGAACCAGTCAGTTCTGTTTTTGCAATAGGCACACTAAATGTAAATCCAATCTGCAAAGAGAAAAGGTATCCTTTAAATGTTAATTCAGTAGTAAGCAAATGTCATCACCCTCTGTCATCCTCCCAGGCCATTTGCAGCATGAATCAGTGCCCACATGCGATGCCTGCACTGTAGGGAGGATTGGCCTGCTACGTAACTACAACAGCTCCCAAATGTGAAAGTGAAAAGGTTGGAGCACTCTCCTGGTCAAGCTTCATAGACTTGTGGATACACTAAACCAAGAGATCTTGGAAAGGTCTTGGTGAGCCAAGAGACCTTGGAAAGATGTGGGTAATCCTGGTATAACAAAGCTGACAACAACTCAGAACTATCAAAAGCACTCAAGTAACGCCCCTGGAAACTTCACCACATCGGGGTCTCTAGGATGTCATTACAAGACTGTCACCCATTCCTGGAGTGCTGCCATACTTTGACAGCAAGGAGTGGTCCCCTCCCTTTCCCTAACTCCCTAACTGTGGACACACAGGAAAAAAAGCTGAAAAACTGTCCCACACACCTTCCTCTATGCCTCAGCCCACACCATTCTAACAGCAGAACTTTAACATTAAGCTTCCTTCCCTAGACTAAATGTGATTCAAGAGGCTGGTGTTGCACAATGGCTTAAGCCCCTGCTTGGGATCCCTACACCACATTCTGGAATGGCTAAGACTAAGTCCTAGATATTTGGTTTCCAGTCTAATTTCTGATGAGGTTCACCCTGCAATGCAGCAATGGCTCTTACTTGTGTCCCTGCCAGCCAATATGGAAGAGTTGGATGGAATTCCAGGCTCCCAGCTTTAGCATGGCCCAATTCCAGATGTTGCAAGCATTTTTTGGTGTTAAACCAGCAAATGAAAAACATCTTGTTTCCTCTGACTACATACCCTTTCAAATAAAGGGAATCCCAAGGACTTGCTAAATGTAGTATGCTTTACTTGACTGGGACCCCAAATTTAGTAAGCTCTGAGACTAATAGAAATAAGTCAGAAATTAAAGAATAGTCTGGAAGTGCTAACAAAACCTGAACATGGATATATTAAGTTTCATGGGTATGACAACATGCTGTGGGGATGCATAGGAATATGCTTCTTAGTGAGCACTGGAGAAATATTAAGGCAATCAAAATGCCTATATCCTAAACATCAAACAGCATTAGAGAAAAATCAAAGACATACACAACACAGTGCTTTTTTATACAATCAATATGATTTTAAGTTAGACGTTTTTTTTACTACAAATGGCAAGTCAGTTCATAAAAACACAGTATGAGCTTTAAATCAATAAAAATGAAACATTTCTTTCTTTGCTACTTACAGATGATGGAGGTAGTATATCTGCCTCAGTAGATTTTATGATTGGAGATGAAAATCTAAATATGGGACTGCCAGTGTTGCTGGAAGAGGTCATTTGTACCTAGTTTTCCAAAAAATTAAGAAAAGATACATAAGGAATTATCCAAAGATACTGACAGTAAAGTACATCTAAAGAAAATAAAAGTACTTTAATTTATTTCAAAAATCAATTTAATTTCTAAAAAAGCAATTAAGAGCAAGTGCTTTAAAATCTGGCTTCCTAGGAGTATACACCAGCTTAGACATAAACGCTTGTCTAAAGGAGAACAGCAATATCAATGAAAGCATGTTCAGAGATGGAAGGAAAAGCTTCAGTTCACTAAAAACGTACAAATTCATCCCTCCTCATCTCTGTCACGGCTTTGTACCTTGTTTGTCAGTGACTGAGAACTGATGGGTGACAGAGAGGATGCTGTGCTCACAGGGGGACTGAAATTGAAGACAGGTAGTGACGAACTGGTGATAGGTAGAGAAATTTTCGGTAATACTGGTAATTCCATTTCCTAAAAGAAAACATGCTTCATTGAAACATACTTCATCTACGTGACACTCTCATATCTACTTATTTTCAGGTAGAGTCTATTCCAAGTCCTACACACTTACACCACCCCAATCGAGGAGCAGCATCATCCCACTATAGAGAAAACAGCCTGAATTCATGCAAGTTTACTGGACACTTCAAATGGACGTAGTTGACTATATATATAATTCACACCTCAATAAGCCTGACCAAAAATGAACAACTGTATTTCTATGCAAATATACTAAGGATTGCATGTATCCAGAGCAAAGTGCCTAAATAATCATTTTAACAGGTACTGAGGATCAACTCCAGTGAACTGTGATGACAGATTGGATTAACTGTGGTAACCCTCCACACTGGATAAACACACAGCAGCTGGAGAAAGTGACCTACAATTACCTATCACAAACACAAACACACACAAGGAGAAAGCACATGCAAAGAAAACATACAGGATTCATTCATTTGTTTTGCGCGTGCACACAAACGCACTGGAATACTCTGAGGGTCAAAGAATTTCAATTGCAATTCAACTTATTTTAATTGCAGTGTTCATTAAAAAAAAAAATGATATTCAGGAAATATGAGAGAGATGAGGCTTTTGGCACCTATCCTTGAGGACCTGCTTTAACTACCTTGCTCTGGGCACCCCAAAATCCACAACTCCAAGTTTCCCTACCACCATCACCTCAAAACGTAAGAAACACCAAAGTTTTAAGTATACAAGCCTACCTCTTCCTCTTCTGGAGGTTTAGAAGCAGCAAAATGTGTCCTTTCTCGCCTCATTTTGCCACCTCCACCACGTACTGCAGGAGATAAGCCATTGGCTGCTGGCACACCAAAATTTGGGTATGAAAACCCACTAGCAAAAATAAAGAAAATCAATACTAACATTAATATTCTGGCATAAAATTTGTTAAATGAATAAATTGCTATCAAAGAAAATTTTCCCCTAAAGGTAATTTAAAAACTGAATCTGAATAAAATTTCTGCTTTAATCAGCATAAATCCCTTAAAAATCTTTAAAAAGGTATCTGTACAGCAAATATGAACAACAAATTTAAATGTACAGAATTGTAGTGAGAAATGCCATTACCTTTCCCGTTCTTCATTTTGTCCTGATGTCATGTTGTTTTCACATCCAGTCTAGGGGAAAAAAATATTTACATGCTTATTTGAATTTTCTTGAAACTATCTTTGTATGAATGTATATGGAATCAGAAATTCTTTTAAGTTAATAAAACCTAAAAACAATATTCTTAGTGATAGTAACAATGTAGTATTCAGTACTGAGAACACTAACTTATTAAAAATAAATCAGTACAAGAATGTCATTAAGCACATCTGAACTTATCAACAAAGTGGCAGCATACAAAATTAATCCAGTGATCACAGAAATAATTTTATGTATCTCTCTTTCTGGTTTGTTAAACATGCAAGCAGCAGGCTGGTACAGTAGCAGGTGAGCTAAGTCAGCCTCTGCTTGTGGCACCAACACTCCATGTGGGTGCTGGTTTGATTCCTGGCTGTTCCACTTCTAATCCAGTTACCAATGGCCTGGAAAAGCAATGGAGGAATGCCCAACTGTTTGGGTCCCTGTACCCTCAAGGGAGATTGGGGGAAAATCCTGGCTCCAGACCAGCCCAATTCCAATGGATCTACACAGAGGAAGTGCACCAGCAATGGAGGCTTTCTTTCTTAGTGCTTCCCTCTCTGTAACACTGCCTTTCAAATAACTGAATATTAAAAAAAAAAGAGATAGAGAAAAAGGTACAAAGTTATAATGGCATCATTTTGAAATGATCTTTCACAACTTAAAGAAGTTCATCCATGAAAACAAACAAGGCACAAGGTTTCTTGGAGAAGTAGTTGATTACAGAGTTTAGGCAGAAAATCTATAAGATGAGATGGAATTATCTTGCAACTGAACCCATGCTGAAGACCCAGGAAAAGCTCTTAGCTTTGGCTTCAGACTGGCCCACCTCTGGCAGTTCTAGCCATTTGGACAATCAACCAGCGGATGGAAGAGTCTCTCCCATGCTCTGTAGCTCTTTCAAGTAATGTAAATACTTTTGGGGAAAAAGCAACCACAAAATAAAAATTTTAATATGGACCAAAATTGCAAAATTAAAATCTGGTTGGGGGAGACAGCATGGTGTCTCAACAAACTAATCGAATAAGCACCAGTACCCTATGGGCACCGGCTTGTGTCCCAGCAGCTCCAATTCTGATGCAGCTCCCTGCTGATGGCCTGGGAAAGCAGTAGAGAATGGCTAAGTAAACAGGTCCCCACTTGTACGGGTTCGGCCTGGAAGAAGTTCCTGGCTTCAACCAGCTCAGCTCTGGCCGCTGCAGCCATTTGGGGAGTGAAAGAGCAGATGAAGGTATTTCTCTGGCTCCCCGACTCTGTAATTCACCTTTCCAATAAAAATAAGTTTTAAAAAATTTTTGAAAAAGGGAATTAAGACTTGGGACCAGCACCGTGGCACAACGCCTGGGATCCTAGTATCCCAGATGAACATAGTTTCTTATCCAGCTCACTGCTAACATGCCAGGAAAGGTGGCCCAAGTGGCTTTGTCCCCTGCCATCCATCCAAATGCGATCCCTGGATGGAGCTCCAGGTTCCTGCCTTTGGTGCTCCAGCCCTAGCTGTTAATGCCATTTGGACAGTGAATCAGCAGAGAGAAGAACTTTCTTTTGGTCTCCCCTTCTCTGTTAACTCTGCCTTTCAAATAAATAAGTAGGGCCCGGCCCTATGGCCTTGCAGCTAAAGTCCTCGCCTTGAAAGCGCCAGGATCCCATATGGGCATCGGTTCATATCCCAGCTGCTCCACTTCCCATCCTGCTCCCTGCCTGTGGCCTGGGAAAGCAGTTGAAGAAGTCCCAAAGTCTTGGGAACTTGCACCTGTGTGGCAGACCCGGAAACAAGTTCCTGGCTCCTGGCTTTGGATCAGCACAGCATCGGTCGTTGCGGCCACTTGGGGAGTGAATCATCGGACTGAAGATATTCTTCTCTATCTCTCCTCCACTCTGTATATCTGACTTTCCAATAAAAATAAATAAATCTTTAAAAAAAAAAAAGTAAATCCACGGGAAAAAATTAAAAAGCAATCACATGCAAGACACAGCAGATGAAGAAAATCTGGCAGAATTACTTAATGCACACAGTAAGTATATACCAGTGTTTACTTAAAGTTTGACTGGGCAACAGTTGTTTTAAAGGTACATCAATTCATAATCACCAATAATTCTCAAGCAGTGTATGTTACAGAACTGCCAGATCACAATGGTAAAGCACTTATATTTACATTAGTTATTACAACCAAAACTCAAAGACTGGTGAAAATAAACACATACTCACACTGTGTCTTTTATCTATTCTTTGATTACTCTTCCTCAGTTCACCAGACATGGTCAGAGATGGTTTAAAATACATGTTTCGATTTGTTGCTATAGAAATGGGCTTTGGGGTCATAAGTCTCTGCACAGGGGGATACTGAGAGTCCACCTTACATAATAAATAAAAATCAAAGACAAACATTTATTTTCATATGCATCATAATTCATATTGTAGACATTGTTTAGCAACATTTAACGTGACCTAGAGGAATGCCAAGAAGGCATAAATAAATAACAAAATCAAGGCCACATGCCTTGATCATACATATGAATATACAGATAACACGTGTGTGTGTGTATATATATGAATGTATACATAACACGTAGCCTTATAAATACATAGGATTGTAAAATAGCCATTGTAGATAGGATACAATTTATTTCAGATTTAATTTTTTTTCACACATGTGGACACATACAAAATAGAATGATATTCAAAACAGTGCCACAAATCAAAGCTTCTACAGAATGGACTGTAAATATATGAACCAAAATTGGTTTCTGTCATTGTGTCCCCAAAACTACTAAACATTTTCTTCAGTTGCAAAAGATACTTCTTCTAAACTAGTTATGAAAATACCTTAATCTTTCAAATGTAAGCAAATTTTCTCCAAGTTGATTCCTCCCTTTTGTTATTTAAAAACAAAAAGGGTTTACTACAATACGGGTCTAACACTGCTAACACATCCAGATTCTGAAATCAACTGGTTTCACCGTCTTGTTTGTTAATGGTCCTATCCTTCCCCCCCCAAACACCGTGAAACTCCTCAAAGTGTTAAGATCACTAAAGCCAAACACTACCCTGGTCCAAGACTGTAATGCTATGAATAGAGCCTCTCACCCCTCAGCAGCTGTTCTAACATTGGTTTCCAGGGCAAAGGCTCTGTAGTTAGCAGTAGCTCCTCCCTAAATTCTCACCACAAGTGGAACCCAACCACACAAGAAGAGTCTGTTTTCACAAACTATTAGGATTACAGTCATGAAATAACTACATTATATCCTGCTTTTCAATTTCCTCTCCATCAATAATTAATTAATAATACACACAGTACCCGATTATAACCAATGCTCTCACAGTAAGAACCCAGGACGTACAGTGGGTTAAACTGTGATACTGCCATTCCACAAGCACTGGTTTAAGCCCTGGCTGCCCTACCTCTAACTCCAACCCAGCTCTCCCCGAGGGAGGCTGGGAAGTTGGCAAGAAGACAGCCCAAGTGTACAGGCTATTGCTAACCAGGTAAAGATCACGATGGATTTCCAGGCTCCAGGTTCCTAACCCAACCCTTGATGTTGCAGTTATCTGGACAGAGAGTATTTCTGACTCCCTTCTCTTTCTACTCTGTCTTTTAAATAAGCAAACCTTTATCCAAAACGAATCAAAAAAGTATCTTTTGATCTCAAACTACCAGCATTTTCCCCACAGTAACTTCCAAAGCTAAAATGAACCATGCAGAATGTACTAAAAGGTCATTAAGATGTAAATTTATATAAGTTTTACATATTATGTAGAATATCTATTATACATAACACACAATATAGCACATAAAATATACAATAATATAAAATCTATATATTTTTTATTAGTCACAGTATCTTACAAAAGTATTCTGGTTGGCTGCTCAAATATGTCATATAACATAAGTGCTGGCACTGTAAACAACTTACACTGAAGAAATCTTACCTTTTGGCTTTTAGCCTGATGATCTGAGATAATTAGCCCACTCCTATCAAGAGGCTAAAACAATAAAATATTATTAGAAAAACAGATGGAAACCAAAAAACACCAACAGTCATACATAAAAAGGTTCAAACGTCAACTTACAGAATTGAATGAAGAAACAGATGGAATTCTTTTTGCATCCTGTTAATGTTACAACAGAATTCATTACTTGTGATGTAATAATAAAATTCTGCTATTTCCACTCAGCTCAGACTTTGCTACACTTCCATATTCAATTTTGACTTTAGAAACTTACAGCAAGCGGGCTTGACATTTTCTCTAGGGACTGCAATATGCGCCGAGCTGTTGAACTGGTCACACCGTAAGACTGTGAATTCAGCTGTTTGGCTTTCATCTGTCTTCTGACTGGAGCCTACAAAGTAAACCCTGGATTACCTGGTGCAGTTGCTGTTTAAATATTCATCAATTATATATATACTTACAAAGCAGAATATATCCTTACAAAATAGAATCCATGTCCAAAGTGAAAATTATCAGTAACTTATCAGGTGTCATTAAACTTCTTTATGCCTTCACTGAAAATCAGATTCTCGGCCTGGGATTACTTTACGGAGTAATTATGTCACATACCACCCAGAAAGGAACCTAATGAGTCTATTTTAAGATTGGTGTTAGCTCATCCATTTATCTGTTATTTAAAGAAACTTTAAATTCATGACAATTCAGAGTTATCAGTTATCCGTGATGTTGTAAAACATTCAGAGTTTTATAGCCAAGAAAGCAAAACAAAGAGACTGTAATCTATAAATCTGAATACTAATGACTAATAACAAAAAGAACATTTGAAAATATCTGGGCTATTTCTCAACAAACAATTTACTTTCTTAAGGTTAGTATTAAGAAAAAATAATTACAAGCACAAAATCCAATGAAAACATTTCATTTTTTCAACTCAGAAGAAATTTAGTAAAAGACTGGGGAGAGAACAAAGGTGGGGGGGGGGACCCCAATGCCTATTAAACTGTGCCATAAAAAAGTATTTCCTAACATTCTAATAATTATGTGGTTACCACAAAACCAAGTAATCCAGCACTGATTAATATGGAAACATATTTCTGTAACTAAAATATATTTAGGCTTTATAAACATCATGTCTGAAAAACTGAACCATAGAATTACTACATGTTCCAATATCAGTAACCAAACACTCACTGTAGGTGTAGCATTTCACATTAGCTTTACTAAGAACTTGGTGCCATTCGTGCTGTCAGGCTAGGTTTTTGATGCTATTAGTAAAATTTATTTATGTATTTATTTGAAAGCCAGATTTACAGGCAGAGACAGAAACAAAGAGAGAAAATCTTGTTATCTAATGCCTCACTGAATTACCTCCCCAAATGACCTTCAATGGCTAGGACGGGGCCAACCAAAACTCAGAACGCAGAAACTCCAGGAAAGTCTCCCACATGAGTGGTAGGAACCCAGGTAATTGGGACATCTTCCTCTGCTTTCCCAGGCACATTAGTAGGGATCTAGATCAGAAGTGGAGCAGCCAGGGCTTGAACCCGTGTTGGAGGTGGTAGCTAAACACAGTGTAACAGCACTGACCCATAGAGGGCTTTTCTTAGGAGATTCATTTATTTACCTTAATGGCAGAGTACCAGAGACAGACAGAGCTCTTCTATCCACTGGTTTACTCTCCAGGACCGTGCAAGACCTAGGCCAGGAGACAGCAACTTCACTTGGATCTCCACGTGAATGGGAAGAACTAAAGCATTTCAGCCACCAGCTGCTGCCATCAAGGAACATTAGCAGGAACCTCAAAAAAAAAAAAATCCGAGCCGGGGCGAGCATCCTGGTGTAGCAAGCTAAGCCACAGCCTGTGACGATGGCACCTGTGCCAGCCTCAGCTGCTCCACTTCAGAGCCAGCTCTGCTAATGCCCTGGATGTTGGTGTCCCTGCCACCCATGCAGGAAACTGGTCTACAGTTCCAGGTTCCTGGGCTTAGCCCAAGTTCCTGACATCTGTGTCCAAATGGGGAGTGAACCAGTAGATGGAACACATCTCTGTCACTTACATTTAAGTAATTTTCAAGAAAATAAAACTAAAAAAAGAAAAAAAAAAAAAGCTATGTTTATGACAATTACAAACCAAAACCACAATGATTTGTGGTTACAACTGCATGCCCAACAAAATGATGAAAAAAAAAAAAAATCAAAAACTAATAGCACCAATTGTGGAAGAGACGCAGAGCACCTGGGACTCCCAACAACACTACTGAGAAGATGAGCTGCAACAGTCACTCGAAAATACTTCGGCATCCTTTGTTTATTTAACACTTATATATGACAGAGCAATCCAACTCCTAAGTATTTACCCAAGAGACAAATGGCAAGAGGGTTTTTTGATTACACAAGGTAAGGTGATGGAAATGTTTGTTCAATCTTTTGATGGTACAACAAAATCAGTTGCACAACTTTATGTGCTCTATAAAAAAAATGAGATATGCTAATCTGTAAATCTTTCTATGTGTAATTTGTACCTCAATACACACACATCTGCACATGAAAAATATTGAATGGGGAGGGGCCAGCCAATATGATGGCTCAACTGAATAACCCTCCCCCACTTCAAGCACCTGGAATACCATATAGGCACCAGTTTTGTGTCCCAGCTGCTCCACTTCCCATCCAGATCCCCATTTATGGACTGGAAAAGCAGTGGAGGACGGCCCAATGCCTTGGGGTCCTGCACCTGCAAAGGGAGACAAAGAAAAAGCTCCTAATTCCTGGCTTCAGATCAGCTTAGCTCTGGCAGTTGGGGCCACTTGGGGAGTGAACCAATGGATGAAAAATCTTTCTCTGTCTCTCATCTCTTTGTAAACATGCCTTCCTAGTAAAAATATTTAATCTTTAAAGGAACCCGCAACAGTCCAGACTGGTCAAAGCAGCAGCGCCCGAATGTGCAGACTAAATAGGGTGTGGGGTGGGCCAGGCTGCAACATTCAACAGCTCATACAAGGCCAAATGAAAGGCCAGACTATGCCCGACTCTGACCTAACACTCACTGGCATGTATGAGAACCAGGTCTGGGATTGGGTCAAGTGGAGAAACTTGGGAAACTCCCCTGGTGAGTCATAACTCCTACGAGTGAACACATGGTCCAGGCCTGGGGGTCAGACAAGCTGGGCAAAGTAGCTCCAATGGCTGGCTAACGTGTGGGTTGGTAATGGAACGGGGAGAAACAGGCAGGACGGAGTAAACCTTAATACATAAGCAAAAATATTAATCAGGATGGAGCACAAGTCATGCTCTTACACCTACCGGTAAATATGAGCCAGGGACACTAGGCCACAGTGTCTAAGGCAAAGGCCAAGGCGGGTGAGGGGCTGTGCCAAGCTGAGTCAGAGCAACAACTGGCATGCGTGTGATCTATGGCTGGGAACAGGCCCGGTTGGGGAGCTAAGGGGACACCTAAGCTGGGTTGGAGTTCCCACTGAGGAGGACGGGGGCTGGAGTAGGGGCTGCATTCTGGTCTAGATATGGCTGCAGAGTCCCTCGGCTCAAGTGTGAACTGGGACTGGACACATTAAGCCGGGCTAAACTCCAGCACCAACTGGTGTCTTGGAGGACCAGGGCAGATGTAGGATAGACTAGGCTAGGTCCTTGCCCCTACTAAGCCATGTGTTTGGGTATGGTCGAGCCTTGGCTGGGCTGAAACATCCAACAATAAGAACCAGAATGGGTTGAAGGCCAGTCAGGAAAGGCCACTGTTTCTGCTAGGACAGGAGGTGAACTGAGTAGGGCTGGCTCATGGACCCACCAATATGCTCAGAATTTGACATTTGGAGAGGTTCTGATGGAGGAGCCTGGGCAACTCCTCTGGCAGGACACTCACCTTGCAGGTAAGCGCAAGAAGCACAATAAGGAACAGCCCAGACCAGGCCAGGCAAAGGTACCCACCGGCATAGCACAAGTCAGGGGCAGACCAGGCTGAACCAATTCACATCAGCCACTAATGAATCCGAGCACCAGAACAGTGTGGGTCAGGCCAGATATCATCGCAACACATACCAATACACATTATGGCTGGGATAGGGTATACGCTGGGCTGGGTTAGACCGTAACCCACACCATCTGGAATTGGGGGTGGGCCGGGCAGGGCCAGGCTACAGCACCCACTAGCAAACGCCGAGGTGAGGCAGGCCATGCCAGACTGGGACACAGTACTAACAGGAACTAGGGAGGGAGGGAGGGGGTAAAGCTGGTAGGGGGAATGTAAAGCCACCCCCCATGGAACACCTCCCCCACTGGAGAGCATGAGTTGGGATGGGGACAGACCAGACCAGGCAGGTCTACAACACCTGTGGGAATCATGCAAGCCAGATCAGGGAAGAGCCAGGCTTGGTTGACTGTCCCTATTGGTGCAAACATAAAGCAGAATGGATGAGGGTTGGTTGGGCTTTGCTACAGCATCAGACAACAGAAGCTGGCACTGGGGGCAAATCTGTAAAGTTAAACTACAGAACCATCTGGAAAGTGCATGATACGGGAGTGGAAGTGGCCTAAAAGAGAAATAGTGGACTCCTCCCTCTTGGGTTGCCACTCCCACTGGAAAGCATGAAAACCAGGACAGGGGCTGGGGTGGCTGGACAGAATGTCACCCACCAGCCTAAGTGTGGACTGAATAGTGGAGTTGGTTGGGTTGAACTAGGCCTCAATGCCCATTGACATGTATGAGAGCTGAATGGGATGTGGGATAGACTGGACTAGTCTGCTGCACATACTAGCAAGCACAGGAACCAAGGTAGGGGGCGGGCCTGGTGGGGGTTATTGTGGGTCGCTCTGACTTAGGCTGCAGCTCCCACTAGTTTATGTGAGGGCCGAGTGTGTGCTGGGCAGAATCAGGCTGGACTGCAATACCTATTGGTTCCAGTGGAAGACAGGGCTGGAAACAGAACTGACCCAACAATTGCAACTACCAGCTCATTGGGTCAATGGACTGTGCCGGCCCTGTACTTGCAAGTACACACAAGAATCTGGTCTGGGATCATCTCAGACAAAGTTTCTTTGGGGATCTCCCCAGTCGAACTGCTGGACTCAGAACCCCAACCATAAAGAGAAGTGTAGGTTTATGGTCTGCCATGGAGTGCAAATGCCAGAGCCGAGACTCCTCAGTGTCTCAGATGGAGCAGTGGAGAGCACAATCAGATGTGCATGGAGGATATGGCAGTCTACTGGAACCTGCAAAGGATACCTGGCACCACAACAGAGGACAGAACAAATTAACCAACTACTCCAGCCACCATGTGTTGGCAGTGAAAAACTGGGCAAATGGAGACTCTAAGGTGGACTATGTCAATTTTTGAATTCTGCAGCAACTTCATTGTTCTTAGAAAGACAAAACTAGCAGCAATTCAGAACTGTTGAACTATCAAAACCACCTGAGCAAGAACCTCGGAGCATACCCCACATCAGGGACCTGGGATGGGTGGGAGACTGGGTTGGGCTTCTCCCTTTATCTCCCCCTTGACCCGAGATACAAAAAAAAAAAAAAAGAACGTGGAAATAATACTTACCCACTTTCCCCTAGCCCTTGAACCTTTGCGCCTTAATTAGCAATGTAAAGATTGTCAAAAATAAAGGAAAAAAAAAAAAAAAAGCCACAGACAAAATGCCGACTTAGGCCTAAAAGAACATTCATATCCTACCCTACAATCCATAGTTCAGTTTCAGCATTTTACTAAAGAATAATTAAAAAGTATTTTTTTTTTGAGTGTCAACACTTATTATCAAATTAAATGAAAAAAAAGATTACCAAGCCTTTTCCCATTTAAACCAACCTGATATGGTGTATGCTGTTGTTTAGACTGTCTTACAGCAGCTGCTGCTCCACCATACATTGTTTTTCCAGGATAAAAGGGGGAATCTCCAAGCTGACTTGTTTTAAGGACTGAAGAATTCCCAAATGACTGCACAGAAAAGAAAAAAAAAATTGATAAATTTTAAGTAAAGAAACAGAACCACTGCGATGAAATCGAATCCAGTCAGTACTCACAGGGGAAAGTGTTCCAAAGGCAGACAGGTTGAATGCTGGTTTCTTTGAGTTGGTGGCAGTGTGCTGGGAGAGGGAATGAGAATGAGAACTCTGAGCTTCTGGGGACCACAGAGGCGGCAAGGAAGTGTTCTTTGAGACAGCTATGTCTGAAACAAAAATAATAATATGTATTATTAACAGCACCAGTTACAAGACCCTACATTTTTATTAAATAACTTTCTCACACACAAAAAAGGTCACCCCATGAAATTTAATATTATTACCAAATGCCACTAATACCTTTATCAGAAGCTCTTGAAGAAAACCCACTGGTAGTTGAGATGTTATCATCCTCATGCTGTGAGGTAGAATCTTTAATTTCCTTCACAAGGGAAAATCCAGAACTGCCAATTGGGAATGCTGAGGATGTAGATGGCTGACAATGCAACGCAGGGGATTCCAACACAGAGAAATTCAGATGGCTCCGATGGAGAGAAGGCCTCGTTAATACATCTGGATAATTCGAAGCAGTACCAGTTGTTGAAGGTTCTTGGAAGAAAAGCATCCACATTACACATATGTAACTCAGAAAAAGCAATACAACATTATTACAACAAAATGTTAACATACCACGTGAGACAGCTTTTAGTGAAACCCATAGTAAGGTTCAATTTAAGAAACTTTAACCAAAGGTTTCAACTAAATTAATCTAATGTTAGGTTACTATAGTTCAGTGATCTGATCCCATACACCTTCTAAAGTACTCAGTTCTTCATTTTGTCCTTGAATAGCTAAGTTTAAGATGCGCTTATCAGAAAGTCAGCAGAACAGGCATTTGGTCCAGCAATTGACACACTACTTGGGACACCAGCACCCCATACTGGAGCACCTGATTCCTAATCACAGTTCCACTTCTGATTCCAGCCACTTGCTAACAGGCAGCGGATGATGGGTCAAGTAACTGAATCCCTGTCATTCATGCTAGAGGCCTGGACTGAGTCCTGATTCCTGGCTTCAGCCTGGCCTGGCTCCAGCTATTCATGCATTTGGGCAGTGAACCAGAGAACGGAAGACCTCTTTCAGTTTCTCTGTCTTTCAAACAAAATGAAAACAAAAAAACAAAACACTGACTTTTTATATGTTATACAATAGGCTAAAATGCATTCTTCCAAAATTACCACTAATAAATTTGTAATCTTGTTTATTTTATATGCATACAAAATATACGCTCTCCCTAAACACATTACTTGTGCCTTTTATTCTGGTTTTTCATTTACCAGCGTAACTGTTTCTGTATTTAAAATATTCTTTCCAAACTGTACCACCACAGTGATTTCATACATTTCACTGTTTTCTCAACATTCTGGTAAAATATGCGCCCTCTGGCACTGGTACAATGTTTCAACTAGAAATGCCGACATCCCATATGGGTGCCGGTTCATGTCCCAGCTGCTCTGCTTCCCATCCAGCTCACCGTTTGTGGCCTGGGAAAGCAGAGGAGGATTATCCCAAAACCTTGAGACCCTGTACCAGTGTGGGAGATCTAAAAGAAGCTCCTGGCTCCTAATCAGCTCAGCCCTGACTGCTGCAGCCATTTAGGGGAGTGAACCAGAGGATGGAACATCTTTCTATCTCTCCTTCTACCTGTAAATCTGCCTTTCTAATCAAAACAAACAAATCTTCAAAAATATTTATGTACTTTTATGTATATCTTTTTAGATAAAATCTTAGATAAATCTTTTAGACAAATTCAAGGCTTTCTACTTTATGTATATTAACTCCAGAGAGAAACTTAATATCCCAAAGTAAATCACACACACAAATACATATATATGTATATATGAGTCTGATATTGGTCCCATAAATTAGCCTAAGTGATGTCAGGTATCCTGAAAACCTGATGAATAAACAGTTTTATGTGGAACTGTCCTGCCACACTGAATCAACTCTGCATATTCATTTCTGCTTACGGCAAATATTAAACTGCACGGCAAATATTAAACTGCAATTTTCTGAAAGTTACACTCTCAATAAAAAGAAAAGACAATACATTTTATCATAATCTACAACTGATAATTTTGTTTTCTGTCCATTATGTCAAACGGAAATTTTGTTTCGAATATTTTTCTTATGTTCATTAGCCATTTATATTTTTCCTGTTTATTGCTCATGAATAGATTCACAAATAAGATCAAGACAATATGACAGCTGAAATACTATAACAATTTTTCTGGTTGGCAGAATTTCTATTAACCTTTTAAGCCTCAAGGGAGAAAGACAAAAAGAAATCCAATCTGACGGTTCATTCCCTAAATACCGTAAGAGCTGAGGCTGGGTCAGAATGGACAGCTCAATCTAGGTCTCCTGCAGAGATGGCAGGAAATCAGCAACTCTGGGGTCTGCATTAGTGTGAAGCCAGAGCTGGAAACCAAACTCACATATTCTGATGTGGGATGAGGGGATCTTAACCATTAAGCCAAACATGTGCTCTCTAGACACAATCCACAAAAATAACTGGTACCCTTTACACCGTTTTCAATACTATGAACAGCCAATGCTGGCATCCCATATGGGTGCCAATGTTGTCTCCATCTCCCTTCCAGCTCCTTGCTGATGGCCTGGGAAAGCAGTGGAGATGGTCCCTATCCTTGGACCGTGTACCCACGTGGGAGACCTGGTTTTACGTTGGTTCAGCTCTGGCCATAGCGGCCATTTGGAGTGAGCACATGGATGAAAGATCTCTGTCCTCCTCCCTGTAACTTTGCTTTTAAATAATAAATCTTAAAGTTTATTTTTTTTGACTGTTATTTTAATTTCAATGTAATGTTTACTCTATTTTTAAAGAACTAGCTACTTATTTTGAAAGAGTAAGAGAATCTTCCATTTGCTGGTTTGCTCTCCAGATGACTGCCAATGGCTAGGGCTTGGCTGGGTCAAAGTCAGGAGTGAGGAGTTTCTTCAGCTCTTCTACCTGGATGTCAGAGACCAAATACTTGGGCCATCCTTCACAGCTTTCCCAAGGATGTTACAGGAAACGGGACTCGAGCGGAGCAGCCAGGACATGAACCTGAGCCCACACGGGATGCTGGTGGCAAAGGTGGCAACTTCACCTGCTACACCACAATGCCAGCCCTCACAATGCTTCCTCTTTTAAAAATTGTTCATTTTTATTTGAAAGGCAGAGTTACAACAAGCAGAGACAAAAAGAAAGACCTTCCATCCATTGGCTCACTCCCCAAATGACAAAGCTGGGAGCTAGAAGCTTCTTCGATGTTTCTCACATGGACAGAGGCTGAAGGTCCGGAGCCACCCTCTACTGCTTTCCTAGGCCATAGACAGGGAGCTGGAACGTGGAGACCTGGGACCCGAACCAATGCCCCTATGGGATGTTGGCACTGCAGTTGGAGGCTTACAGGCTTAGCTTAATATGCCACACCAGCCCCAATGTTTATATGATTTCCTTTATTGTAACTCTGGAATCAGTTACAATGTAGATGTAAGTAACTCAGTCCGTTTTCTAAATGGTGAACCTGTTTATACCTTAATTCCTTTCTCAATGAGAGCCACCATCTACTACATGCTGATTTCAAGGCTTTTACTTCTTTCTCCTCCAATGATGCACTCTACCATAATGTTTCAAACTCCCTACCTTCAGGACACAATGTGTGTTGAAGTTACTCTTTCCCCTATTCTTCCCTCTCAGTATTTGTGTATTTCCAGGAACTTATAATCTAATTCATCAAATTCCCCAACAGTCTTCCAGCTAGGATGGAGTACGGAAATCAAGAGTAGCCCCTATATTGTAAACAATAAAAAACTGAAGAAAATAAATGACATTGCTGCTTTTTATAGGACTTATTTTATTTGAGGTTGAGAGATTGAGAGAAAGAAAGAGAAAACTGATTCCATACACTGGTTCAGTCCCCAAATAATTGCTAGGAACAGGACTGGGCCATCTTTTACTGTATTCTCAGACCCACTGGCAGCGAGCAGGAGCAGAGGTGAAGCAGCTGAGACTTGAACCAGCACTTAGGGGAAGGACAGAGGCACAACTCTAGCCCTTTTAACTGTTTTTATACTGTGGAAAACAGCACAAGAAAACTCACTTGGTGAGCACTGTAATTACCCTGCTCTGTCCCAGGGACCTTTCCTCACCTGAATAGAGACCTGGAATCTAAGTAAAACACAGCAAGCAGGAATCAGAATTAAGGTCATTAGGGAAGAGTAGGGACCTACCAAGTGAAGCTCCTAGTTGTCTACACTAAAGTGCCCAGGGAAGGGTGGGGGACATCACCTATACAGGTCAGAAAAGACACTAGGAATGAGTTTATTCTAGCAGTCTAGACACTGCGTTCCGCATCAGAGTACCTGGGTTCGGGTTCCAGTTCTGGCACTGATTCCATCTTCCCACCTCATCCTAGCCTTGGCCACTGCAGGCATTTGGGGAATGAACCAGCAGATGGGAATGCACGCACTCTCAGCTCAAACAAATAAAAAAGAAAAGAGAGAAAGAAAAGAAAAAGAAGAAAAGTAAAAAGATTCTACACGGTGGGCAATGCAGAATAAAGGAGGAAAACAGGATTCAGTTCCAGGACTATCAAAACTCAGATTCCATTAACACTTGCTGACAACAGCTGAGACACAAAATTCTTCCCCTTACGAGTAACCTCATGTCCAAGGGGAGGCCCCACTGTAGATCCATCTTAAGACCCAAAGCAGAGATAGTCTGGAGTCTAACCACACACAAACAGCTTAGGAAACACCTTGAACTCAGAAAAACACATTATTACTGCATAAAATTTCATCTGCAAGAGTTCAAAATGAGGAAGATGACACCATCCATATTCTGTATCCATCGCTCAAAATTGCCAAGTGCTTAGACAAAATCAATGAACATACGAAAGAATGCAATCCACAGTGGAAGGAACAGTCAACAGAAATCTTAAGCCAAGACTTCAAAGTACTTAGCAAAGATTTTAAATTCCTTTTTTTCTTGAAATATGCTCCAATTTCTTAAAAGACCGGTTAAAATTATTTTCATTGGTATCCCAGTAAATTTAAATTTTAAAACATAACTGGTGTCATTTCACAAGCTTTCCTTTCCTTGGGGTCTCCATCATGTCCCTAACAAGAACTTGAAAGAATTCCTTCTTTCATAGTACCATACAATTCCTCAGAATATGTCCACAGGTTTTCATGGTTTGATATTCTAAATGAGATGTTTGCCTCCTAGCTAATACGTAAATAAGAGTTACTAATTCATCAAATATTTACTTTGTGATCAACTTTTATAATTCTCATATTGTACCAGATATCATCTGTTATCTAACTACACAATTAGCATCCAAAAGTGATGGATGATGAAGATGATGATGATGGGCTTCTAACTCCTAATGTTATTGAGAATGCTTCTAACATTTCACCATTAAACATGATTCTGGCATTTGGTAGAAGACAGATGTTAAACAAATACTAGCATATGAACAAAAAATGAATAAATGTTGGCCAAGAATGCGAAAAATCAATACCCCTTTTTACTACTGCTGGAA